AGTCAGTCATGTCACAGCAGATAAGACCCCTAGTTCTGGGCAAATGGCCTTATCGCCCCAGCCCCACTGAGAAGCTGGAATGGCCGATCACTCAGGCTGCTGCTTCTTTGAGGTCATGTGAGTGTGGCCTAGACAAGCAGCGGGCGTTATCCAGGTTCCACTCTGACAGTGACCCCACTTCATACCTCCCTCCTTCAGCTGCCCTTTGAACCCCAAGTTCAGGCAGAACATGGAATGTCCACTGCTGTGGTGGTGGGTGGGGCTGAGGTCACCAGCGGGGCCTAGGGACCCCGCACTTTGCTCCCCCAGGGCTCTCTCCATCTGATAGTTCACTTTTTCTGCCTTCACTCTCCTTTGGCCAATTTCCTAACAGGGCTTCCCTTAGCTCACCCCTTGGCCTGGAGCCTCCTAGTTTGGTTGTTAAATKAGTTTACATGGCAAATTCTTTGACCATCCCTGGCCTTCCTGCTCAGAGACCTTCCAGTCCAAGTCCTCTCATGGCCAAGTCAGAGCCGCAGCTCCTCAGGACGAGGCTGTTGAAGGAAGCCGTAGCCTTTGGCTGGGCCCCTGTTTAGAGGTGGACGGCAAGGACATGGGGGAAGGCCACAGCACATGTCGGGAAATTTCCATACCTTGGTACGCTGTTTGGATCTTCAGCAAAGCACAGATCAACGAAGGGTAAAGCAGAGAGTTCCTCCCGAATGCTAAGACGTGATGTTCTTCTCATGTCTTTCCAGGAAAGGGCAAGTGGTCCTGGGAGCCACACACTTTCTTGGACCAAGCTGTCTCAGCAAGGTCATGCAGGGAAACGCGGTGAGGCAGGGGACGTTCCCCTGCTGTCTGCCCCACTCTTTTAGCTCCTGGTTTGGCCAGGCAGGAGTGGGCCCAGGGGAAGCACACTGCCATCCAGAAATAATTTGCTACAACTCCCCTGAGTAAGGAGGTTATTTGTGGAGATGAAGGAAATGCAGAAAAGGGAAAGGATTCCATCCAGGCCCAACTTCCTCTAGTGGGGCCTGAATCCCACTCTGATCCAATAGCTCTAGTATCTGCTTTTAGATTCGCTGAACGCAGGAGCCTTGGGAAGAAGTCTCTCTCGTTGAAGCTATGTTGAGACACTGGCAAGCAGCCCCTGGGAACTGGCCTCTGCACGGATCCCCCTCACCCCTGTGAAGACACTGCCCAGGACTGCTAGTCTGAGGAAGCCCCCTCAATGCCAGTTAATAATCCTGGCATCCTGGAGCAGCTCCTATCAGACTGAAGGGCAGGCAGGGTAAGGAGAGAAGAGTTCCCTAGTGCAGAATCATGGTCTCATCTTCATGGTGGATGAGTGGGCAAGTCATCTAGTGTTTTTGGACAGCTTCTGTCTCCCCAAGTCAGACCGGCCCTGCCCATCTGCTTTGACCATCACTGAAGGAGGACTGTTAAAATCAAGTATGTGAACATTCTTTGAACGTGAGGTTGAGGTGCAATTAATTACTCAGAGGGCCTATCCCAGAAGCCAGTCAGACTGTGGAATCGGATTAGTCATTTTACTGGCCCCAATGGGGCCACCTGCGAGCTGGAACTTCCTAAGGACAGCCTGTTAACTTTCACAGAAGCCCACTCGCTACGATGCTTCCACAGACTTGGTACTTTGTGGCCTCCTGATGGCTGAGGCAGGCTCACTTTTATTTCCTTCTCTGTTCAGTGTGTGCTGCGTGCACCTGACTATGATGCAGTTGAACAAGCCACAATCTCCAGGCTGAGAAATAACCGTGGCCCGGTGGTAGAGCACTTTCCCAGCATGCAGGGCACCTTTACCTTCCCGAGGCAGCTACTGTTGGATCCTAGGCTGAGCAGAGGCTGGAAGAGGCAGAGAGGAACGGGAAGCAGCTGAGGCTCTGTCCAGGCTGATGCCTTGCCTTTCTCTTGGAACTGGAATTTCAGTCTTAGCTGGGGCCCCTGCAGGCTGCCCTTGGGCGATTCCCCTCCTGGAAGAATGGCCTTCTGGGGTTGGGGGGCTGGTTGTCAGAGCCTTGTGAGGGGCTGGGGGCCCCTCCTCCTCCCTTTTCTTTTTCCTTTGGGAACTTGCAGTGCTAAAAACAAGCTTTCTGAGAACCATATTTTTCTGGGTTAAAGGTGAAAAATGCCGCGTTTCCTCCAAGTGGAAGGCACTCAGCCTGCCAGCTCTGGGCACGTTTCCGAGATCCTTCCTCCCACTCAGGGAGGAGACAGCTCCCTGTGAGGCGGGAGGGGAGGCAGCGGGAGGCAGGCGGAGGAGAGGGGCGGAGGGATGGTGGAAGCAAAGTGCTGGTTATTGTGAAGCCCAGGCAGGGAGTGAGTGGAAAGCAGCAGGCCTGTTTGTGTTGGAGCAGGCCCGGAGCTTGGGACTGGACTGGGTCAGAAAAATAAAGGCCAATAAGAGGGCCAGAGAGCAGGGCAGCCATTCAGAGAGGTGGCCCCGGGCCAGACAAGCTTCTGGGCAGTGTGGGGACCCAGAAGACCCCACCGAGCTTCCTGAGGGAGACCTCCCAGGGGTCCTGGAGGAGACAGACAGGATTGCGAAAGTCCATCTGTATAGGAAAAGCAAGATCACTACCTTCCCTTGTCCACCCCTAAGGCCTTGCTCAGAACCTGTGGGAAGTTCTGGGGAATTTCCTCAGATCCTGATGGTAGATAAAAGTTTTTCAGGAACCCATGTCTCACAAAATCTTTCCTCTGCAGGACACGGATGGAATGAAACTCCGAGCTCCCTGGAGGCTCCCCCAAAGAACCCAGCCAGCCTTCTCCAACCAGCTTCTCACCACAGCAGCCACCCAAAAGCCAAAGCAGAGATCCAGGGTCCCTGCTGGTCCCTCCTCAGAGCAACAATCGGCTGCCAAGTGTCAGCAACACACTTGGAGTGGAGGACAGATGGATAAGGGAGACAGTCAGGTCGATAGGGTACRGGAAAGGCAAAGGCTACTCCCATGAAACCTGGTCTGGCCAGTCACGGAATACTTCATAAACCTTGTCCCCAGCTCCAAGGGTCCCTGCAGAAGAGCTGAGCTTGGGGTGGCCACCTCATGTCTACCATACCACTCATTTCAACAGCATTGCTTGTCGTGGAGGACTGGCCCTGTTCATGGTCTGGATTTTTCCACCCCTCTTTGAACTCACTCAGTTTTCCAGGTGACTAAGTAGGTCCTCCCACTATGGCGTGGTGTCACCGTATCGCTACGGAGGTGGAGTCCATTTCTTCCATCTTTTGAACCTGCAGACTTCGACTAATTGGATGTGGCGGAAGCATCTCGTGGGCATGCTGCACTTACTGTAAAAGGCCTAAGGCCTTTACTCAGGCCCTCTGGTCCTCCTTCATCATCATGAGAAGGGGACACTTATGCTAATCCGCTGGTCACAGAAGGAGAATGAGAGACACATGGACTCAAGTTACCTTACCACCCCAGCGGGGGTCACCTTAAGTTAACAAYCCCCACATATGGGATTGCATCCAGCTGAGACCAGAAGAAGGGCTTAGTCAACCCAGAGCCACCCAGCTGCTCACTCAGGGTGAGTAGGCAATAAACACTTATTGCTGTATGCCACGGCGGTTTTGTGGTTGCTACGCACCATGACTGTGGCAAAAGATAACAGAGACACTTAGAGAGCTGGAACATCACAAGACAAGCAGAATCCTTCCCAGCTCTCTTGCCCCCAGAACTGAGGTCTAACTTCAGTTTGAGGTTAAAATCTTTATCTTCACTGCCACCTCTGATATAAACGGATCCCACATTTTCTGGATTTATCCACAGAGAGGATGGACAAGCCTTGTTTCAAGCTTGGGATACACTGTCTCTGACCCTGTATTCCTACCCTGGCCCCCTACTGTCTTCTTGGGTCCCTCTACTCTGATGCTCTCTCACCTACGGGATCCCTATTGCCTTAATCCTAAACCGTGTCCGCGCCTCCCCTCAGCTCCAGCTGCTTCCCACCCAGAGAGAAAGTGCTTCCTAGTCCTCTGCAGTTTCCACACACACCCCACACCTTCTTCCCCGGGTCACTGCCTTTTTCTCTGGATAACTCTTGCATGGAACAAGAGCTCATCTGCAAGGCAACCCTCTGACTTCAGCTCAGCTGGCTATTTTGCTAAAGATTTTTTTTTTCCCTCCAGCTGGAGTCAATCCATTGAAAATGGGCTGTAAAAGCAACTCCATTGTATACTGGGAAGCACTGGCCCCAGCATTCTCCAAGGAAAAAGTGCTGAGGTGATGGTGATTGGAGGTGGCAGGGCATACTTCCCACCAGGTGCACTTCCCACCAGGTGCCTTATCTCCCCATCCTACTCACAAGGTGAGTATCCTTTGCACATAGCAAAGGATAATCATTATTGTTACTGTTGTCATCATTTACCCATCGAAGGATAGATAGGTAGGGATCCTGGTCTTGGAAGGTTCTCAAAGACAGGAGGCAGAAGGTTGAAGTGCAAGGTGAACCTCTCTAGGGTATCTATTCATCTTTTAGGATTTTTCATGTGCCTAAAACTGTGCTTTTTGCACAAAGCTCAAAGCTTTTTGCTGAATGAATGCTGCACAAACAAGAGTGGGGTCATGCCTGGGACTAATTATAGGCTCTTGCATCAGATTTCCCTCCTCTTTGGGGATGCATTCATCTCACCTTTCCCTTAGCAAACTTTGCATGGGGATCTGCCAGTGAGCCAGCTGCACATGGAGTCACATGTGTGCATAGCAGAGGGACATAGCTGACAGTGCAGAAAGAAGCTTCATTTCTCTGGTTCCTGTCCAGAAGCTTGGCCCATGATAAGGGCACATCCCCCACTCTCTGTTCAGCTTGGAAGCACCGGCTGCCTTAGTGTCCACTTGTGAATGTGACCTCTGTGAATCAGTATCATCTCAATGAATGAATGAATGAATGAATGAATGAGTTCTAGTCTTCTTCATCCCCTTTATTCAAGTTTACTAAAGAGATTCCCTTTTCTTCAAACAGAATGACAATGACCCACCTTGGTAACACATATTCCTTTTAATCTGCTTATTTTGGAAAGCTTCATATTCATCCCCTAGAACCAACATGTACCAAAAAAAGAATGGTCAGCTCCCCGAGTGGCCCACCCAAGTCACCTCTCCCACTCCACTGATACCACAAATGACCCCAAGTCTTCTTTGGGAGAAAATTTTTAGGAAAGTGTGCAAGAATTAGGGTATACTACCAGCATACCCTAAGGTATACCGTGTAGACAGTCTGCAGCTATAAAAATAGTCACATACAAAAGTACAGCTACAAAATCATGGGGCCCATTTTCTTAGATTGATATTATAAAAAGCAGGGATTTCACATTAAAGGTACACTTGGGGGGAGGGGCCGCATTATGACCATGATTCTAGGTTCAATCTTCCCCACACTTTATTTTCCTGGAACAGTGAGAGCACTTTGGGCCAGCCACCAGGGAGTGGAAGGGATTAGGGCCAAGGTGGGAAATTCAAAGTTCAACGTCACACAGTCATTCTGCTGTGAGTAAGTCTCATGAGCCAGGGAAGGACAAGTATTTTAATACTGCTCTGTGGGCTCATGCGAGCGCTCTCTCTCTCTCTCTCTCTCTCTCTCTCTCTCTCTCTCTCTCTCTCTCTCTCTCCTCTTCTAAGCACTATGAATCACAACACATTCATTCAGTTACAGCAGACAGGCTCTGGAATTTGCATTGATGTGTGATCTCTGGCAGACTCCATGCATTCAATGGACAAAGTCCGTTGCTTCCGACACACAGTGCTCCATGGGGTTTGGCCCACAGAGTGTCAGCAGGTAGGCCACCCAGGGCCTCCTGCCTTGGTGCTCAGTTTCCCTTCAGGGTGTACTTTCCCCTTGATGAGAGGAAACACACCTGGTCCCGGGCCTCTGTGTGTGGCATCGGGCAGGGTCTCAGGGCCCCTGGGACTCTCAAGATAGAGGCTCTGTCCCCTGGGCAAGGCCAGCTGGTGTTACTTGGCTCCACAAGTGTTGATGTTTTTCCCATCTGCAGCATCTTCCACGAGGGAAATGTGGTAATCGGTGGACAGCGTGAAATGAGAGATGCAGCCCACGAGGCCTCTCATGTACTGCCTGTTGGTGTGCAGAGCGATCTCCTTCATTCCACCTGCCAGGAAGCCACAAGGGAAAAAAAAGAGTATTTAAAAGAGGACATGTCAGCTGTGCAATCTGGGGCTTCCCTGTGGTGCACCCGAGTGTCCACTGACATCCCTTGGTTGATAGGACAGACTGTCCAGTGTAGCACATCTATTTTATCATTGTCCTTGAAGGAACAGGCTCACTTGGATCCATTTCATACACAGCAAAAGGGTACAAATACACGACTCACAGTGTGATTTCTGGCTCAAATGAAACCAAATTAGTAGCTAGTGAATTTTGGCATGTTGTATGATGCCGACAAAATGCTGTGTCATTGGAGGTGATAGCATCTTAAACCAGAAGAGATACACTGATGTGGAATGCTTTCAATGAAGTTCACTTTGAAAATATTTAAAGATATCTTTTCCCTTTTGTGTGTTCTACATTAGTGGATTATAAGCCATTTATAGATATGCTACTCATTCTATTTTGAGGTGGACCAGAAAGATCCTACTTCCTCAGAGAGAATTCCTAGAGCTATATTTAACAGGTTCCTGTTGTATAAACAAGAAAAGCCTGGTTTTCCTGGTGGATCTGTCCAAAGCACAGAGCATCTGAGTAAGTCCCTTCCTGTCCCCTAGGCCATGAGTCAGAAGTTCAGAAAATGGAAGAATGGAATATCAGGACAGCTTCCTGATTTCCAGATATTTCACTGACCTATCCCTGGCACAAGAAACAGAGAACTTGCAAAAAAAAAAAAACAAACAAAAAAAGCCCTGACCTGATCTAGATTTGGCCCTGAAGGTCACTTACCCACATACAGAGGTCCGTTGATGTTGAGTTGTCTCATCATGCCAGGTGACTTGCCTGTTCTGGCTCCGTAGTCATCCACGGTAATCTTTCCTGATTGGCCGTCCCTGCAAAGGAATGTAAAACAAAACAGAATGCTATTTTTGGAGCTGATTAAATCATTTCAATATAAAGGTATCAAACAACTACCACATGCCAGGGCTGCCAAACCCCAAAGTGGTGGCTTCTGCAGCACTAGGGGTGGGCACTAGCCCAGGCCCCCTTCTCGACAGCCACTCTTCTGGCACCGAATTGAGGGAGCTTTCCCCTGTCTGCCTGCTCCCTACAGACCATGCAAGGATCCCCACTTTGGAAGTGCATTTCTGGACTCTCATACCTTCATGCTGTGATGAGCAATGTCCCCAGCCGCTTGCCTTGTCTGTTCTGCCTTTGAATTTTTCATCATTCTAAAATACTCCATTTTTTTTTTTGCTTACTGTATTTCATTAATTCTAAGATTTTTTTTCATTCTTCTCTTTTTAAAATGAAGATACTGTCTCTTTCTATTACAGCCCTATCATTATACCTAGTGGTTGGGTTCATTTTGACAAAATCATATGTGCATGGAGCTTGATTCACTCCATTTCAGTCCCTATTCCCCGACTGTCCCCTCTTCCCCTCCTTTTTTCCCTTCCCCTATTCTCCTTCCTCTACTCTGCTGATCTTCTTTTGCTCGCTTATTTATCTTGGATTGGTACTTTCTGCACATAAGTAAAGGTGAAATTCCCTGTGGTGTATTTACATATGCACATCATGTGATTTGGTTACATTTATTCTGCGTTTTCTCCCTTTTCCTGCCCCTCTCGGTTTCCTTCTTCTACTCCACTGACCTTCCCTAAAGATATTGTCTTCTAACCAGTGGCATGTTTGAAAAACAAGTGATCTTGCCTTCCAGTATCMTATCTAATGTCCTTCTTCATGGTATATGTTACGTATTGTCTGTTGCCTCCCAGTAGAATCCAAGACCAGGGCAAGGACATCAGTTTTACTCAGTGTTGTATTTCATGTGTCTTGAATGGTAGATGGCTTGTAACAGTAGACAAATGAATAAATGAATTTATCCAGCTTCAACATCCTCATCTGAAATAGGAATAACCATGCTCATCTTCTAAAGCTCTTATGGGGATCAGATGTCGTGCATGCCAAGTACAGAGCATGGTACCTGATACATATCTTGCTTTACAAAGACTGGTAAAGGCATGTGTGGCTATTATCAACATCATCATCACATAATAATTCTTATCCATAAAGAGAAGACCATAGAATTTAGACGGCTATGAATATTAACTATGATAAAATACAGGGTGTAAAGAATCTGGCCATTGAAGAAGTCTATTAAGTGAGAAGTTTTCTCTCTTCTGCTAGGAATAATGCTTGCCAGACCAGGATTACCCAGAGCAAGACAGTGTACAAGTAGAGCCCCTCTTAGGGATCTCCTCTCTGTTGATTCTCCCATCTTTGACTTTGGAGTCTATAACAGAGAATTAAGATGTCCACCCACCCTTCTTGCCATGGTTTATATGCTTGGCTTTGAACCAGTTCTCACTTAGATCTGTTATACTGTCTCTTCTCAGCTTTCTGCTCATAACTCGTGATATCTGCTTGAATCCTCCCACCCATACAGTTCCTGGACTCAGCTCTTTTGGTTCCGTCCTCACTGCAACCTAAGACGCACTAGGAATGGTGTCAAGATGCCAACAGGAAGTCTTACAGCTGCAGAGCCAGCTGCATGGTGCCACTCTGCCACTCTGACATCTGAAGTTATTTGGAGGAACATTCCCCTGCTTGTCCCTTCCAAGTCCGAAATCCTAGTTGTGGTAGGCTGCCTTCATCTAGGCTCTGCCCACAGCAGTTGTATAGTTTTAGGAAAGTCACTTAACATCAGTTTCCCCAGATGATGTTAAAGAAGGACCTGGTGTCCCCACCACTGTGTATCTCGATACACATAATCAAACCACAATTGTGAATGTTTTAATATCCTTCTATAACATGTATTCTACCAACCATCTCTACCCAAGGAAATTGAGAGCAGGGTGCTTTGATCCCTGATGTCCCCAGAGAAGGAATTGTAGGGATGGAGGGCAGTTGGAATTAAGAACTGACACATTTCAAATTCCTTTGGATGCCTCTGTGCAAGTCCTTATAAAGATGGTACCGAGAGAGAGAAATGAGGAACTCAGAAGGCACATGTTTGGAGTACTTTGGAGTTAGATTTGACTTTGTATATTTTGACTTCTAGAACAAATTTGAGATGCACTCCTGTATGTATTCATCATGGGAAAACATTTATGTTTTTCAACAAGACAGAGTTGGGGTTTCATCAACATCACTACACATCTATCTCGAGTGGTTTCTACTTGGCAGCAGGTAAGCACAGCTCTGATGCTGTATCCTCACACCTGCACTAAGGTATCAAAGTCAGGCACAGTGGTCAGAGCAAGGCTATTCCCATCACAGCCTGTATGTGAGCGAAGCAGGAAATTGACCCTGCTGAGCCCTGTATTTCCCAGGCCTCACCTTTGACTTCACCCATAGACTTCCCCAGACAGGATTCATCTTCTGGGTCCTTCATCTAACACACAGTACTGACACTACCAGTGCGGACCCACTATTTGGCTCCTGAAAATGTACTGTTAGGAATATGGAATGTAAGGAATAAAACTAAAACTGTAAAGAAGAGCAAAAGAATGGCTCACCTAAAGAAAATTAGAAGCTGGGATAATGACTCCTACTGAGGAGTGAAATACATACATGGGGCCCTGTGAACCACATGGGATTATAAGGGTCTAATAACGTAAAACAAAGAGAACAGTAGGAATGCCAATAGCAAGTCCTACAGCTGCAGAGCCAGCTGCATGGTGCCACTCTGCCGCTCTGACCTATGGGATAAGATGGGGACCTTCTTTGAAGTCCTGGAATCTCATTGCACTATATTTTGAGGCCCTCCCCAGTTTAATCATCAGAGAGTTTTTTTCTACAGAAAGTCACCATTCCTGACAGAAGTGGGGTTTGACCTCTGGCCTGTCAGTGTCAGTGGGGGGCACAGCTGGGACTTGGTGGATGCCAGGCAAGGCTGGGGAACAGGACAGTGGGACTAAAGGAGAACTGGACTCCACCTCCCAGTATGGCCCAGTCGAACTCTGCCTCTCACGGGGCTAGGTGCTCACCTGACAGCCTTGACCCGGTGCCACCGGCCATCATTGAAGGAGCCGTTCACCATGATGGATGCCACACCACTGCCCAGGTTGTAGCTAAGGGTGTTGGAGAAGAACAAGACAGTGAACAGAGTAAAACCCTGAAGCACAGACACATACCCATTCACAGAGGATTCTCATTGCAAAGTGTTCTTGGGAAGGCAGCATGCAGTTTCCTTAACACAACACAAGGTGTTCGATTTTCAGGTCACCCATAAATGAATTCAGGGAGCCATGAATTTTATTTTTAATTTTCAATTGTGATAAAATGCCTAGAACACAACATTTACTACCTTAACCAGTTTTTAGTATATAACTGAGTAATGTTAAGTACTTTCACACCTTTGTACAACTAATCTCCAGGACTCTTCTCATTTTACAAAATAAACACTGCACCTGTTAAATAATAACTCCCCATCCTTCCCTCCCTCCAGCCCCTGACACTCCCCTCCCACTCTCTGTCTGGATTTGACTCTTCTACATACCTCATGTAAGTGGACCATGACGTGCTTGTCTTTGGGGGCTGGCTTACTTTGCTTGGCCTAACATCATGAAGGCTGATTTATTTTTTTCTTTTTCAGCTCATGGGTTGGAAGCATCAGTACTATAATTATATGCTCAGCATATACTATCAGGGATAATGAAAAGGACTTTTATCATTTGTAATGTGATATCCTAGATTGAATAGTGTTGCCCCCAAACTTTTAGGCTCTATTCAGATCCTAAGAATATGACCTTATTTGAAAACAGGGCCTTTAGTTAATTAGTTAGGATGGTAATTAGTTAAGGTGAGGTCACACTGGATCAGGGTGACCATAAATCCAATATGACTGGTATCCTTTTAAGAAGAAGGGACATGGCCACACAGAGACGCACACGGGGAGAATTCCACGTGATGATAAGGGCAGAGACTGGAAAAACACAGACAGCTACCAGCTAAGTAACAGCAAGGATCACCAGCACCTTCAGAACCTCAGGGCAGGGAACGGGTTCTTCCAGGCCCTCCAGGAAGAACCAGCCCTGGCAAACACATTGCATTTTTAATCTGCAGAACGGTGAGGGGGGAATTTTTATTATTTTAAGCCACACGACTTGTGGTAATTTGTGACATCAGCCCTAGGAAACTAACACAAGTGTTTCATTTGTCTTGTTTTTTTTGAAACAGAACACTGACAAGTAGCTGTACCCTAAAGAGATTAAGAGAATTTGCCTAAGATTGCAAAGCTAATGACTAGAACTTGAACTTGGTGTATTATCTGCCCCATTCCCCATTTTTTACTCTGATATCAGGTCCGCCTGGTACCTTCCAATTTTTTATTTCAGGTTCCAGATGCCCTGATACCCTAAAGGTATCAGAAGACTTGAACATGTTGTTTACCAGAGAGAAAAAATCCCTCCCAATCCAATGTTCATTCAATTATTCTAATTTAATTCAATTCAACAAATGTTTAGTGAGGTGACTACTCTCCCTTGGGCATTGGGCCAACTGCTGGACCTCACTTGGTAATATCATAAACCCTATGTGGTCAGGCTTCTGATGTTCTCCCGGGGGCAGCTTGTCCCTCATCTCATGAGAGGAGGTGTCTCTCCTTCACCCCCTACCCAAGAAACAGGACTGTGGGGAGGAAAACCAGGGCACTCACACACTCATTCTGAGAGCCGTGCAAGAGCAGAGAGCTCTGGGCTTTCCCCAGAGAAAGTGCCACGTAGGTCATTCTTTCATAACAGAGGCTCAAAGAAGTCCCACAGCCAGTTGGCATCTAACCAAGAATAGACCTCACAATGACTTGACCAACCATGGGACAAAGCTGCCACCCCGACCCTGACAAACTTACTGTTTTCTAATGAAATTGCCCACACTGTGTCTCCTTGTACAGAGCAGCCTGGGGGTGGATTTTTCAGATTTCATTAAGTGGAGGCCAAATGCTTATTGAAGAAATGTTTGACTCTGAAGCCAATTTAGGAGCTGGTTGGCTGACACTTAGCTGGATACTACATGTGGCTCTCCTATCTGAGGTGGACCCTGGTTCCAATGACCTGCCTGCATCCCCAGACTTGCTATTTTATTTTTAGTCTGTGATCTTGGGCAATTTGCATCCTCTTTCTGAGTCTAAATTTCCTCATGTGTAAACTGCAGGTAAGAATACCTTCCCTGAAGGATTGCAGGGTATGTTAAGTAAGATAGCCTTATGGTTTGGATATGAGGTGTTCCCCAAAAGCTCACGTGTGAGACAATCAAGAAAGTTCAGAGGAGAAATGATTGGACTGTGAAAGTCTTAACCCAATCAGTGAAATAATCCCTGGTGGGACTAACTGTGGTAACTGGAGGCAGGTGGGATGTGGCTGGAGGACATGGTTAACTGGGGGCGTGGCTATGGGGTATATATTTTGTATCTGGAGCATGGAGTCTGCTCTCTCTACTTCTTGATCATCAGGATGTGAGCTGTTTCCCTCTGCCACACACTCCACCATGATGTTCAGCCTCATCTGGAGCCCCAAGAAATGGAGCCAGCCTTCTCTGGAGTAAGACCTATGAAACCATAAGCCCTCAAATAAAACTTCCCTTCCTCTACAATTGTTCTGGTCAGATCTTTCAGTCACAGCAGTGAAAAAGCTGACTAAAACAGCAAGGCACATAGTAGGAACAAACACACAATCCTAGCACCCCGGACACCTGAAGCACTTAGTGTGCTTGAATATGGGGAATCACAATTCACCTCGAGGAGCCAGCGGGAAGGAGAAAGTTGTCACAAATAGTTAAATTCGTCACGGTTCTGGAGGAGTGGCCATGTGTGAGTGAATCCCAGGCTATAAACACATCAGGAACAACCAGATCTCAGAATCCAGGGTCTGGTCTGGGGACAGCCGGATGGCTTTCCTGTTCATGCACAGGACAGAATGTGCTTAAGGGAGGGAGTCAAGGTGGAGCCCAACAAATGACTGCAGTCATGGGGGTAACTCTGTTGGCCTCTCCATGGCATGACCTTCCCACCCTGTGTGATTTCAGATCCTCTAAGTAACGCCTGCTTGCCCAGACACACATACCTACCTTGGAATAGTTCCCCCTTTTGTACATGATAAATGGCTAAGAACAGTGGTTACTTTGGCTGGAGGAGAGATGAGGGAACCTTTTTGGGGTGTGAGAAGTGTTCTGTATCTTCTTCTGGGTGGTGGGGAAACAGCATTTACGTATTTTAAAATTCACCCAGCTGCACATCTAACATGTGTGCCCTGCACATGAGTTATACCTTGGTACCAAAGGGGAACAGTGAACCAATGCTCGTCTGATTGCTCTGCCAATGCCTGGTAAGTGGCTTCCAGGATGAGGGGTCCACTCGACATGAAGTTGCAGTAAAGGCCGCAGGGCTGGGCACCAAGGTGGGCACCAGGAGGTGCCATCARAGAGGCCATCTGGAAACCACTTGGCCACCTCCATGCTTTCATGGGATGACATTTTTAATCATGTCCCTTTAAGCTGTGGCACAGGGCACTTGGCTAATGTCAGATCCCTCACCTTTCTCTGCTGCGTAAAAATGTTACAGGGTCAAAATTAGTGGGAAAGAATGTCGGGAAGCGAGACATTCAGAATGTCAGTCAAGTGACGTCCGTAAACCCTCCCAGGATGTTTTATGTTCCACATATGATCACAAAGCAAAATGAAACAAAGCAAAAATAAAACAGAAAACCACACTCATTTTAACTAAAACCTTTGATTTCCTTTTTTATGTTCAACCTTGACCAAAACTATGAGTAATTTTTTTTAGAGTTCCATCGCTCTTGTCTGTTCTCTGGCAGAAGGGCTTTGAGTCCTAAATTAGCAAAAGGAACCTGCATTTAGATGAAGGAAGAAAGTCTAGAAAGTTAAGAGGGAATTTCATCATCTTAGACTTCTTCTGTTTGCTCTGGACCTGGTTCAAACACTGAAACCTCAAGAATGGTTTGTCCACCCTGTAAAAAGTTCACTCTCTGGGCTCCACTGGTGTCAGGTCCTCAGGGCCAAGGCCAGCTATATTGTTAACAACAACAATCATGGTAATACTAACCAAATTTAATGAAGCAATTATATCAAAGCTAACTTCCTTGCCCATGTTATCTTTCTGAGGCAGGGGGCTTCCAGAGCCCAGAAAACACTTAACTAACCAGAGTAATTATTAATTATCATTATCTCTAGTAACTAGTTGTTCTAGACCTCACATTAAGTCCTGTACAGGAATGAATTCATTTAAGCCTCCATTTGATCATGTACAGATGAGGGGACAGAAACTCAAGAGAGGTTAGGTAACTTGCATGAGATCACACAGCCATGGGTTTCGGGCATGTCTGATTCCAAAGTCACTTCAGACCCTGCTTCTCAGGCTGTGGTACCTGGCGTCACTTGGAGTGCTTGTTTCCAATGAGAACCCAGTGCCTATCCACACCTATTTCATCAGAATCCCAGGAAGCTGGCACCGCCATCTATCTTTGAAACCAGCTGCTGAGTGCCCCTCTGCCTGCTGGCATTTTCAAGCCACCAGCCTAGACCATAATTACTCCCTGACCCAGCCCAGCACTTCCATTGGTCTGTACTGAGTGGGAGGGTGGCTGGTAGCCCTCCAGAAGAAGATGATTCAGTTGGGCAGCAATGGTGTGGCTGTGGGCCCAGCACTGACAGCGACCTCAACCCGGGCTCCCTGGTGTATCTTACAGAGGATACAAACAGGTCTCCAGGATTCAAAGAAAAACATGGGGAGCATTTTCAACAACCTGAGAAAGAAATGGTAACTTCAGAACCATGAGGATGGAGAGCAGCTGTTGGAAGGCCTGGGGGAGGGCGAGGGAGAGGGCCAGGGGAGGGTGAGAGGGAGGGGCAAGGGGGGCATTTCCTTTCCAGGGCTGGGAAGGGAGCCCGTGGGACCTGGGGGGCGCCTCGGAGCTTCTCCAGTTTCCCTGTGGGGCTGGAGTGGGTGGTGAGTAGACTTTGGCTGGCAGTGCAGGGGGGAACTGGGCCGTCCCACCCACAGCTCAGCTACTGTTTCGGTTCTCTTTTTCTGGGCACAATCAAGTACTTGAGGCCTTGGCGAGGTTAACCACAGGAAAACCACAAGAAAATGGCTTCAAGGCAGCCAGCCTGGATCCCGGGTGTGAAGAGCTCGGTTATCTGACCTCTGGGCCAACTAGGGGTGGGCTGGGAGGGGCAGTGGTGTGCTGGCAGCTGGAGACGGTGACAAGGGGCTCCTCACCTGCCGCTGCCAGACTCCAGCTTCAGCCACGTGGGGCTACTGAAAGTCCCCACGATCCGATCGTAGGACGGACTCCCCTCAGCACGCTCTGCTATTTAAGGGCAAGTGAGATGTTGGACAAGTGACAATTCCTCTCAAATGCCTTTTCTTCAAATTGAAAAGATTTATGTTATCCTCCTCTGGCTCTCAGTAATCCCAGCACAGGGCAGACAAAAGCCCCAGAGTTAAATCTTCATTATCTCCGTGTTTGGCTCTCTTTCCTTTGTCTGYTTCAATTCCATTGCTTTCATACCATTTAGTGATCACTTGGGCTCATCACCTTGGGGGGAGGTGATTCAGGTAGGAAAAGCCCAAGAAATGTCTGTCTAGAGAGAGCAGACATTGTCACACCTGGATGGCATCAGAATTACCTGGGGAGGTTACAACATGGCTTACGGGGCCCTGGGCCTAGAGTGCTTGGGCTTAGTACATCTATGATATACTTAGTACATCTATGATATATGATAAACCACAGGTATAAATGAGCCATTTCTAACCTCAAGTAAGGAAGTGTCATTACAATCTCCAGAGCAGCTTTTTCATATTTCACAAGACAAGCAGACCCTGTTCCACAGAAGCTTGGCTCCCATCCATTCTAGTAGGGAGATTCTTCATGGCATAACTACCCATTTGACACATCTGAGAGCAATCTAAATTCACTAAAAAAGAGGTAAGAACTCTTGGGGCTGCCTTATGCCTATCAAGAAGTGCTTGCAAAGATGCCAGTGTTGAGTTCATCTACTGGGGCAGGAATCTGTGCTTTGTTCTTCTTGCAGCAGGAGACTGGAAAGCAGGGATTGTCCCCAAAGCTAAGAGGAAGCAGCATGGAACTTAAAGCCAAGACTCTTGGAGTTTAGATTTTCACATCTTCCCGAGCTGTTGAGTGTTAAGCTGAGGACTCACTACTATGCTGGGCAGTATTAAAATCCTCTTTTCTTCCTAATTTGCAAGTGGGGAGCCTACAGCAGTAACACACTAGAAGGGGGTCACAGAATTGTTCTGCAGAGAGCCATTTAGTAAATATTTTARGCTCTACCATACCTTCCTACTGAAACTACTCAAATATGCCATCATCACACAAATATGAAATGTGCATGCATATGTATGAAAGCATTCCAATAAAACTTTATTTTCAAAAATGAGTAGTGGGCCAAATTTGGCAAGTTATAATTTGCAGTCTACCACCTGAAAACATGGATGCTGAAAAGAAAAATCAGAGACCTCAAACAAACCTGGAGCTTTAGGCCACAGCCAATTGCAGCAGCCTGTATTTTAGCTCCCTTTGGAATTGCTGTAGGCATGATCCGTCCAATCTGAGAAAGATCACCAGGTGCTGCTGAAGGCAGCCAGAGAGAGGGTTACCTGAACACCAGGGCTCCATCCCGAAGGCCCAGGGAAATGAAGTCACTGTTGGGTCTCATGGGGCTGTCTCCCCTCCACATTAACAGGCCGTCCTTGACAGTTGACTTAAACCTTATGAATGCATTTGATCTTGATCCTGACACCCTGAAGGAAGTACACAAACAAGTTCATGAAATTAACCACCAAATGTGTTTCAGAGTGGTCCCAGTTTGTCCCGCCAGCCTGGAACAGCCAGGTGTGAGGACCATCTGGCATTGCTAGCATGTACTTCCAGGAAATTAGGAAGAGCATCCCCCAGGAGTCACACCAGCAGGCAGCAGTGTCTCCCCGACAGGTATGGGGGAGGCACTTGTGGAGCCACAGATTAGCAAGATAATGGCCAACACCAAAGTCTCAGGCTGCACTCTGTACACACTTCAGTGTCCCCCTTTCGCTCTCCTATTTCTCAAGGGCCCTTGGGAAACTGCTACCCTCTCCCTAACAGAAAGTTGCCAAGAGACTCAAAGAGTCACCTGCTCTGGGCTTTGGTCACAGCTGTGGGAAGATTGGCTCTGGCAGTGAGTGTTCTTGGGTGCAGATCTGGACAGTGATTGGATGAAGGTAAGGTCTTAGACAGGGAGGGGGCTTGATGGACTAATGGTCGGGAGGGGTGTTGTTATAGTCCTATGGAGAGGAACAGGAAGCTCTGAGGACAGAGTGGACTCTAGGCTCTAYAGTCAGGGCTGGGAATTGGGTCACATGATCGTGTGCCTTTATCAGAACTTTGGAAGAACTAACTCAGAAACTCATTTTGACTAACGTGGTAAGAATAAGCCTGGGATCCTAGAATCAAAGTTGTTGAGACAGGAGTAATATTGAGACAGGATTTAATATTGCTATTAATATGACATGGCACAACTGGAAAAGTTTTTTCTTTTACACCCACCCCTCTGTCTGTCTCACATACTTGGGTCTGAAGCTGTAGGTGCTTTCAATAGTGAACAGTGGAAAGGACTTTTGTCTAGGCTTCCCAGAGCCTGGTCTGGACAGGAAGAGACCAGGTGTGCCTTCCCTATGGCCTCAGAGTGGTGATGGGGAAGTGTGGTCCACCAGGCCAGGTGCGAAACAGTACAACCAAAGCCYGTTCCCTAGGAATCTGCTACTCCCCAATTTTTATTCAAGGTTCCTTCCCTCCCTGWCTTGCTTTTGGAATACTGATTGATATAATCAAATCAAGACATTCAAATTTATCTTATCAGTGATTGGTTTTGGAGGAGGCATGTGACTTGCTATTGTCCAATAAAGTAGAGAAAATTTTCCAGGAGGATTCTAAGAAAGAAACTTCTCTTTAATAAGAGTCAGATGTAAATAAAGAAAGAAAATCTTTTTTACTTTCACTGGTTGGTGCCATATTTTATAACCATCTTATGAGCATCCTAGGGGTAGCTGGGGGATATGCTGAGGATAAGAAGGCAGGCAGATGATGAGATCTGAGTCTTAGATGATACAGTTGATTCTCTGAGTTAATCAACCCAGGATCCAAAGTCCAAACTCCTTATTATATGAAATAATAAATACTTTTCATGTTGAAGAYCTTGTAGGCTGAGTTTTCTGTTACTTGGCATAAAAAGCATCTGAGACAGACCCTGGACTTCTGCCTGCAGCCTTACACACCTGTACATGAACTTCCCCACACGTGTGCACACACCATCAGAGTTGCTCTGGCTTGGGGCCTCCCCGTCTCCTCCTCACCAAATCTCTACTTTCCCTGACTGCACGGTGATCTCTCTCTAAGCACTGGAAGCTGAAGCTGTAGGCCCCTTTCACGCTGTCTCTGGTTCCTGAGGACTGAAGGACCTTTCTTTAGAAGAAGAGCGATGAAGAAGGAAGAGGATCTCTCTTGGCTGGGAATACATTTTACCTAAGKCCCTGTGCCAAGGCAACACAGATATCCACAAGCTGGGATTAGAGAAAGGAAGCAATGTCTGTCTGGTGTGCACTGAGTTCTTGAGGACAGCCAATGTCCCAGAAAAATTTCTCTTCACTACTTTTGTTCCTAGAAAAGCCACCAAGCTCTGCCCTAAGAGCAAAGCTTAAAGATTTGCCTTTGTCTGCTAAGATGCAGTCAACCTGAGGAGAAAGGAAAATTCCAGAATGATTGAGCTGGGGTGGTAAGGCAGATGGCACACTACACATGACCAAGGACCAGTGGAGGGAAAAGAGAGAGAAGGAGGAAACGGAAGGTGCCGAAGACAAGCTGCATGGACAGAGGGTTTGCTGGGTGCAGGCTGTGACCCTTGCCACATGCACAGACTGTTGCCATCCAAGAGCTACAGTAACTTCAGTATAGTGCCGGGGCTCCTGCCACCAGAGGTGACAAGCTGCAGCAGTGACTGGGGCATCTCTTCATGCCATGCCATTGCGTCTACATGAAGAGAGCAGAGAAGCCCCCACCGAACCAGTTAGAACCTGAAGAAGACATCAGACCTTTATGGATGAAGATGCAGAGTAGGTGCTAACCTAGTGGGAACTGGGCTTTGCTGTGTGTGTGGTTGGGGGAGCAGTTGACCCCTTCTGCAGCTGGGCACAGAGAAAGCCTCTGATGTGGCCACACAACAGCACAGAGCCCAGGTCCCCACCAGGGAATGAAACTTCATGAGCACCACACTCTGCTTCTCAAACCAAAAGCACTGGAAACCCCGGGGGGGTTGGAGAGGGGAGAGGTCAYATTATTCTTTCTAGACCCTTTGACCAGAAAAGGTTGGGATTGTGTAACTGTGTTGTTTGGAAGACCGATGTTCTCAAGTTTAGTGTGTTTCGTTCTAGTTTCCATGTTTATTTTATTTGTCTTTTTGCCCCGAGACCACGGCCTTCTTTGGGAATTATCTTCTAACATGAAAGATAAGGAAAAATCTTGGGAAAGATATTGAGAAATTCATGCTATCAAAGCCTGTTACCTCTTGAGGATATCTTGGTTGTCATATGTCAGGTAACTTCGGCCAATAAACTGCGGGATCTCGATGGCTTCGGTGATGGCTGGGACAGAACAGAAAACAAGTTATGTAGCATGTCTGTCTCTCGACCTCTCACTTTCTCACCAAGAAAGCCAGACCCTGAAATGTCACATTGAACAACTTCCTCCTGGCTGCACACACACTTGCACACCATTTTCTTCTCCCTGAAGGCTGGCAGTCCCTGTCACTGGCCTCAGCACTACTGAGAAGGTCTTGCAATGTGCYGAAACTTGAAGTGCTCCCAGTGATTCCTGGAATCCAAAGAGTCGGGCTTGGGCCATGTGGGGAGCAGCTGGGGATAACCCCAGATCATGGCCAAGCGAGGCCGAGAAAACAATCCCTAAACAAGGCCCACAAGGATTTATTTAATGTGAATCTATCTAAACCCCTTTAGCTATGACCTTGAGAGGTCGATGGGGGAAATGCAGTGTGAGACTTTGACTCTTAGTTTATATCACGTTCCAAGTGTGATATTGCAGTCTTCAACTTGATCTCACGAAGAAGCAGGGAATGTGGGGGAAGGGCAGGCTGATTATTCCCATTTACAGAAGAAGGAAACAAGACACGGAAAGCATCAGGGATTTGCCCAAGATCATCCACTAATGCACCATGAACGGCTAGCTCCCCTTAATTCTGGCTCCTGGCCTCTCCTTCCTTTACCATCTTTTAGAAATGAATTTCCTTCCTCCCAATTTCTCATCACTTTTTTCCTGAGGAATCTCCCTTTACACACACCAAAGGAGCAGGACAAGCCGCCATGTTGCTGTCACAGATTGGGATGAGGTGAGGGGATTTCTGCAAGAGAGATAACAGCAATATCTCTCTTCCTCTTTAGAAAGATACAGAAACAATATTTTAAAGAAATTAAAGTGCAATAAATCTCATATTAAAAAAAATGTGCTTGCACTTGCACTCCATTTGTGTACCATGAATTGAAATGCATTCTGCTATCTTGTACAACTAAGTAGAACAAATAAAAAAAGGAAAAAAAAAAAAGAAAAAGAAAAAGAAAAAAAAATGTGCAAAATGAGAGACTAACCAGCTTACAAAACAATTACAGCTTCATAAAACAAAAGCATTTCACACAAAGTAGGCACTGCCCTGAGGACTCCACACCAGGAGAGAAAGGTCTGATCATTTGACTTATTTGGAGATAGGAATGATGGGAGAGTTTCAACTTAACTTTTAGAGAGAAAGAGAAGGAAATGAGGGGGGAGAGAGAGGGAAAAAAAAAAAAAAAACAGGAGAAGAGAAACCTGCAGACATTGGGCCTTCAGGTGTGAGTTCCTGTGTTGGCAGGTTACCRTGACATGTTCCCAAGGCCTCTTCATAAAGGGGAAAAAGTAAAGAATGAAAGGAAAGAAGGAGGGCTGGGGATGTGGCTCAGCGGCAGCGTGCTCGCCTGGCATGCGTGCGGCCCGGGTTCGATCCTCAGCACCACATACCAACAAAGATGTTGTGTCCGCCGAGAACTAAAAAATAAATATTAAAAAATTCTCTCTCTCTCTCTCTCTAAAAAAAAAAAAAGGAAAGAAGGAAAAGGAAGAAAGGAAGAGGAAAGAAAACACAAAAAGAAAAGAAAGAGAAATAAAATTTTAAAAGAGAACCCTGTGGGGTAACTACCCAAGCAATTTCTTGGGGGAAGGAACTTAGCAGAAAAATGAGGGGGGAGAGTGGACACGAGGAGAAAGCCCAAAAAGGAGAAAAGAAAATGCCGGGAAAGAGGAGGAAGAAGAGAGAAAGAAAGGAGACGCAGGTGGACAGGCAGCCACTGGGCAAGGGAAGGAGGGGAAGCCGAGAAAGAGGGAGGGAGCCCCCGGGACCAAGGAGGGGAGAAGATGGGAGGCTAGAAGGGGCTCCAGTGTGCGCAGCTGGAGGAGGAGGCAGGGGGCTCTTGGTGGGTCAGCAGCCCCTCATCCCAGGGAACTGAGAAGGGAGGAGACAGCACCCAGGCTGACTGACAGAGAGTCCTTCACACTAAACATAACCCAGGAGCCCCCACTGGGTTTGGCTCACCCCCAGGGCGAGAGATACAGCCAGGGTCCATCCTGCGGTTGTTGGCTGTGTCTGTGGGCCTGTGGCCAACAGTCGTTCTTCCCCTGGATTCTTTGAAATGGTCAGGACATGCTTGTCACACATCAGTTCTGCACAGGGCCTCAGGAGGGGTCCGTCTGTGGGAGCCGGGTCAGCTGCCWGCTAACTCAGGCACTTGCTGAGGTCCAGCTGGGAGACAAGTGTGTTCCCAGGGTCTGYGCTCTTGCAGGGAAGATTCCCACCACCCTGGTTGGTGTGTCCAAGACCCCGCCCCCCGCCCTCCACACCATGCACCCAGGTTCCCCCCACACGTGGTTGGTTGGCCTACACTGTGCCACYGCCTGGCCAGAGCCTGACCTGGCAGGGGCCCACAGCGCTTACTGTACTTACTATTGAGGCAGTAATTCCCACACTCTGCCCAGTGTCAGCATGAAAAGAACAGGGAGAATCAGCGCACACATTTATTATATAAAATCTCGACTACACATTGCTCATAGAGGGCTGAAAACCAGCTTTGCTCCTTCCCCCACAAAGTCCCCCCAAGGGTCCAGAATGGAATGTGAATGCAGGCCCCAGCAGAAACTGTGGAAATCCTCTCCTGGGCATGATTGGCACCAGCACATCCACTTCCCTTCCCCCACTGCAGCTTAAATGGGGAGTGTGGGGCGCCACACCAAGAAGTTTATGGCAAGCTGTCTGACACTTCTGGGGCTCCCTCATCTTCAACCAGCAATCTACTTTTCTTCTAAACCTAGAGAAATAGCTCCTTACTAGAGCTTATTCCTTGCTGGTGGCTTTTACTCCATTTGGCTCTAGGCTGCATGTGACAAAGGCATGATGAGCCAGTCTGCAGTCTCTTTTCTCCCCTAGTGGAAAACATTACCCTAACCCCCTCCCGTTCCCCTTTGCAAGATTCCAGAGACCTGTTTTTTGTTGTTGTTGTTGTTGTTGTTGTTTTGTTTGTTTGTTTTTGTGATTAAAAACAGGTAAAGTCATTCTGCAGAAATGACACCATTGAATGCAGCATTAAGTGCCACCAGGTTCACCAGTGTGCATGGAGAAACAGTAATTCCATCCAAAAATGTCAAAGCGAGACGTGACCATCCGGCCCTTTCTGGCCCCTTGTGGTTTTTATATAGACTACTGTAAACATGATTACACTTTAATCTCACMTCTTTACTTTTTTTGTTTTTTTGCATTCTTTTCTTTGTGGCTATGGTCTTACTGATGTATTAGTCAAAAGGTGTTGCTGTTATGCCCTGGCATTTATTCCTTTAAGCATGTGCCATTTAGACAAAAAAACCACGCCATTGAGTAGTGGCTTCCAAGCTAAAATTCCCGCAGCTCAAACAAAGTAAATTCCCCATTTAAGGAACTTAGAATTCCCAATAYACTATATGGAGTTGAAGGGACAGCTGGCTCTGTTATACACCCACAGGCCTAGGAGGAAAGGCCACTGCTGGTATCCTGGTCTAGCTTCCCCACATCCAGGATGACCCTCGGCAACATTCCTGGTGGGACACACGGCCAACCTGATGCACACTTTCAGGATGGGCAGCTTGCTAATTCATAGGGCAGCACACTCCCTCTTGGACAGAATTCCTTATTAGGTTGAGCAACTCTAATCCAAAAATCTGTTCTAAAGTGCTGCAAAGCTTTGAAGTCTGACATGACACCACAAGCGGAAAATTCCACATCTGAGATCACCTGACGGGCCACAATCAAAATGCAAGGGCACTAATAATACTGCATAAAATTGCCTTCAGCCTCTGAATATAAGGTGCATGTGAAACATAAATGAATTTCACACTTAGACTTGGGTTCCATCCCAAGGTATCTTTTCATATATATGCAAATATTCTAAAATCTGGAAAAAAAAAATTCAAAATTGGAAACACTTTGAGTCCCTGCCAGTTTGGATAAGGGACAGTCCTTGTATTAAGTGGATTCTGTAGCCACAAAGTAAACAAAAAGACAAACTTTTTTCCTATATTATTAGCCCTTCAGCTAACTAAAGATCAGCATCTAGTCTCAACACACAAAATCTTCCATTGTTTAATGAAACACTATATGAAGAAAATAAATTCTTATACACTGGGACCAATAAAAGAGCTCAAAATCAGCCTCAGAAACATGATGTGAAACTAGTAAGTGTAGCATAAACTGTCCTAAACGTTGCATGAATGATACAGCAGCATCAATCAGGCAGGATCAGACTTTGAGGACTGCACGTTCCTGAGGAATGTATGCCTGAAGCCAAGGCTTCACCTCTGCTCTTGCAGCTATAGTGGGCTGAGCAGCCCACCTGCTGCAGAGAAACACCACCATCTAGCGGCAGGCATGATACTGCACCATCTGAGTTGAAGCTGTAATAAAAGGAAGAAAGGAAGTATGGGGGCTCAGAAGTTCTTTCCAGGTGACCTGGATGCTTTGGGCAGGGCAAAACCCAGGAAGAATAGCTATGTCCTGTATCCCCCTTCTGGACATTCAGAACAGAGCAGAGGCTCTGAGAAGTACTGCAGAAGACAGAGCTCTTTGATTTTCTATCCAGATTCCCCAAACGAATTTAACCACAGACCCCTGCTCCCATTTTATGCATGTGAAAATATGTGTGTGACAAGGTGTGGGTGTGAGCAGATATGTGGATGCACAACACCATCACTAATTCCTCAGAACTTAATTTCCTTTCCAGGTACTTTGTGAAAATCTGTTTCAGGTTATTAGTAATTTACTTAGAAGATCTCTGAGGGACTGGGAACCAAGATGTATAATTTTTGATGAGATGAGAAAGGAGGAAAGAAGGCTTCAAGGATGGGAGTAGAGTTTGGTGTGGGGGGAAAGCCTTGCTGACACTCTTCTGTGAGATGAGAAGGAGGTCCAGGGATTGGGGYAGAGGCAGGGAGCTGAAGTTCGAGGTGGGAGATGATGCCTACAAGTGAGATTACCCCAAACGGAAAGTGGGGAGGGCTCCCAAGTCAAGCCTAGGGTTCTACTGGTGCCTGACTCTGAGGCTAGGAGTTTGACTCCTTCTCTCCTGGTGAGTTCCAGAGTTGGGAAAGGTTGGATTTTGTGTAGTTGCTGATGCTGGAGAGAAACTAAGGAACTTCTGAGGAACTTCTCAGGAGCTGGGCAGGAGCTGAGGCCCACCTCTTTGTTCTGCCCCGATCTATCAGGAACAAAGTGGGGTCTCTAAATCATCATGGAGTCTGTGGGATGCACTGACTCTGGAATTTGTTTGAGTTTGTTTGGTCCCATCCTCCTGTGCTGCCCAGAAGTGAGAACAAGTGTTGGATCTCCCACTACAGTTCTGACGAGTCCAGAGAGGACTAGCCTAGAAAGGAGCACCTTCCTCTTGGAGAAACCTCCAACAGGGACTGGGTGAGGYCCGGCACTGGGAGCTGCTACAACTTTTTGCTCCATGTTTTTTTGTTTTTTGTTTTTTGGTTTTTTTAAACTGGTTTAACTTCCAAGGAGAATACTAGGAATAGACTGTTGCTTTTAAAGCACGATTTGATTTCCAGGCAGAAAAYCTCCCTCAGCTATTAAATGTATGAGGATCACTTTGCTGAACAAGACAGAATTCTAACAAATAAAGATGGCTTCTAACTGATCTTGGTCTTTCAAGCTACGAACACACTTTCAGCGTGTTCTCTTCTTCTTTTCTTAACAAAGTTGAAATTCTATCAGTGTCAGTGTTGATGATAATTTTATTTCAGTCACATATTTGAGTGTAACTTCAAATACCTAATTCTCTATAAGATATAGTTGTTTTTTTTTTTTTTTTTTTTTTTTTTTTTTTTTTTTTTTTTTTGGTGGTGCTGGAGATTGAACCCAGGGTCTTGTGCATGCAAGACAAGCACTCTACCAACTGAGCTATGTCCCAGCCCTTACTATGTTCTCTTCTATTTCTAGGGATCTCTCTTCCCTTTCTTTCCAATCCTTACAAAGGGAGGAGATGCCAGTATTTCAGCAGWCTGCAGGATAACTGCCCATAGCTGTGTGCCTGCTGGGGCCTGGGAAGGCTGGCCCAGAGCCCCTTTAATCCTAACAAGTCATTATAACCTGGGAGGAAATTATGGGATTCTGGCCATACCTCCATCTATATGAGCCTTCCTAGTATTTGCCAGATACAGTATCTTGATTTCATAGCTGAAGGAAATATTGATACAAAATGCATGGCAGATGGGTTTGTTTGGATTTTAATCTTGGTTCTAGCCTACACTGCAGGAAAAGAGGTCTGGATGCCCTCCAGTGTCCTCTGCCTCTGTTCACTCCCTCAAATTTTGCGAGGAGCCCAGGTCCTCATTGAGATCCATCCCATTGCTGTGGTGAGATCTGTTTGTTATTGGACTTGAACCCAGGTCCAGTGTGAGCACTTTGTATATCTGTTATGGCCAACGTTCTACAGCAGAAAACAAGCACTAACAAGTCAAGAGMTTTGTAATGTTTTGAACAACCAATAAAAAAAAAGTTTGGAAAAAAAAAGATCACAAATGATCTCTTAATTCCCAAAGCTAGGTTTTCATTTACATCTAGACTTTATATTTTAACTSTCAGTATTAGAAGCAAGCTTGGAATGCCTATAGTAAGATTGGAGAGTAAGGGAATTTAAACACTGAAGTGTGAAGTCAAAACCCAGTTTTCTGAATGAATAGGCCACTCTGGAACTAAATCTCCACAAGTGTAACCTATTAGCTCAGCAACAATTTGYTTGTTAGAATTGCAATTGGGATAATTCACAAGTGGATCATTTCCTCTTCTTTATCAAGGGATATATTGTATGATTTACTATGCAGATTTCAGAACTCATTTAAATACAAGACATATCACTAAGTCTTCTAATAGGCCTGTTATCTTTCATACTTTTCCAAGACTGCTGCAAAACAACTTCTCCTACCCTACCATATACCAAAGCTTCTACCTGTAACTTAAAGTTTACCTSTAAGCACTAGTTTTGATCAAAACAGGGAGCCTGGAAACAAATAGGAAAGGGAGAAAGAATGTATTCCTTTAGAGGCCACAGCCTTCTTTCTTTCAGATCTCTTTGCTTTTTGTTTTTAAACTATTTCCTGGGCAGGTAAGTCCATGTAGACATTTAGAACAAGAGGGTCCACAGAGCCCCACCTGATGGACATATGTGGGCAGGACTATTCTATACACAGGACCATGGCCTCTGCTTCCCTTAAGCAGGAACTCACGGCCTGTGACTCTGCCTAGCTATCAGACAAGGGCAAGATGAAAAACAGAATAGCTCACAGCACCTGCTGAAAGATTTTCTGCTTCTTACCTACAGTGATAATAATAATTGCTGGTGCRGGTTGAGAACTTAGCAAGCACTCTTTCAAATACTCTAAATGCATTTAGTGTACACAATGATCCTCAGTAAATACTATTGCTATGGCCATTCCCATATTACAATTCWGARAACTGAGGCACAGAGTGGTTTGGTARCATGGAAAACAGCACTCTACAGAAGGACATGCATACTTAGCAACTAATGTGGCATTCACCTTTTTCTGTATTTGGGCAAGATTTCTCTTCACAGCACTCACCGATAGGAGTCAAAATATTTAGTTAAAATATTTACCAGACCATAATGCATAGGTTCTGGGATTGGGTCAGATGCATGAGTCCTGAAACCCCTGTTATATTGACTGTGAGACCATGAGGGGATTCTCAAAGAAGGACCAAGAGAGGTGGCTAGGGAAGCTATATGCCTACTGTTACAGAAGTACTTCAGCATTTAATTCTTATCACATAATTGTAGTAGTTTATATATGATTGTCCATTGATAACTTATTGCAGCCACTGATCAAAAAAACCACTATGATTGTACCAACTTCTTTTAAGAATGGTGATTCCCAACATTCTGTCCGTGGCCTCCACTCCCTCCAGGGGGCTGTGCCCGAGACCCTGGGTGTACCTTTCTGGCAGTGCAGGCCCTCGAAGCCCAAGGGGCAGTCGCACTCATAGCCATCCTTCCTGGGCCGGCAGCTGCCCCCATGGGCACAGGGGGCCCCCACGCAGGGGTGGGCTGCATTCTCCACATTCACACCAGACGTGAAGTCATGCTTCACATGGATGGTTCGGTCATTCAGGATGATCTTGAGGGAGAGAAATGTAAAGAAAGTCAGAAATTGGGAAAACATCTTTATGGTCTTCTAGAGTTTCCTGTGGCATGAAAACCCAAGCTAAACATAGGGAAGTTTAGAAGAAAAGTCAAAAGAGCCCAGTTATTGCTTTAAGAGACTTATAAGTGATGCAGGAGCTGAAGGAGATCTGTTTAGTACTACAGAGGAAAGTGTGCCTCTGATCCTAGAATACCACCTGAGAACGCAAAGTCCAGGTCCTCAGCCAGGCTGCAAGTAACATCTCCTGGGGGCTTTAAAGCACTTCCACTGCCCAGAYCCACCCAGATCAGCTGAACCAGTCTCTGAAGGTGGGACCCAGTCRCTGTGCCTTTTAAAAGTTTCCAAGAATAACTGTGGAAGTAGCAGCTATGGCTAAGACATGCTGCTACAAAGTGGAGTAAGGAGAAGATCAAACTGAGGTGCAGGAGGCAGGAATCCAGGGGAGCCATTGCTGCTGGTGGAACCCAGAAAACTTCCTGGTGTACTTCCACCTGTTTTTGTTAACATCCTGTACTGTGTCCCCTAAAACGCCATCAACGGGGCCTCCCTGATGGCCCCATCCACCCCTGTGGTCCTCCCCTCCCTTGCTCTCTGCATCCCCTTTCCCACCCCTCACAAACTCAAAGCAAAGCTCAGGCCACACTAATCACTGCTGTGTGTGTATTTACAGAGTTCCTCCACACCTTCTTCCTGCAAGGTGGCTGTAAACAAATTGATGGACAGTTTCCATAGCAACAAATAAGTAGACCCAACTTCTTCCACCCCTGACCCAGGATGTGTATTTACTTTGAGTTGTTGCTAGCTTTGCAGATCTCAGAGACAGAGAGCCCTCACTGCCTGGGGAAGTTACAAGAGGTGAGCAATGGCAYTTCTGGCCAAGGGTCCATGTGTCTGAGGCTGGCTTCACCCCTGGAGAGCACTGAAAGAGAAAACTTCTCCCCAGTGCCGAGTGGGATAAGCAGCTAGGGAAGAGCTAGAAACAATCTCCCCTCTGCCTGCTGCAAGTTTGAAGGCCTATGGAACTGAGCAGTGTGTCCTCAAGACAAGCCAGAACTGGCACTGTGCCCTGCTGGATATGGCACAGCCAATGACTCCATCAGAAGGAGGRAAGGGCAGTCTTTCTAGAAAGTGAGAAGGGAACTGTTGTGTGTGTAGTGTGAGCAGAGTCAAGCCTGGGAAGGGTGGACAGAGAGGACAATGCTTCCTGTCGTCTCAGCCTGTGTCCTAAGTGGCAATATCAAGCATGATTAAACAGGGCCAATCCCACGCAGGGGGCGATGATGACCTGAATTGAGGTGTCACTGACATCATGGTTCAGCAACAAAGGGAAGCACATCAGAGCCAGCAAATGTTGTCACGGGCCCCTTTCCTAGGTTCAACACTGAGGTTTGGGATGAGAAGGACCCAGGCCCAAGGGGCACTTCAGGGCCGGGATGTGCAAACATGATGGAACCTTCTTTCACTGTCCCTCTTTCATTTTAGCCTCTCTCATACTTCATCTCAGGTCCAGCAATGGCCCACCCAGCACCTTGATTGCTAAAGGAAAGGAGGATGGAGCTGACACCCCCAGAGAGGAGATGCTCTGCTCAGATCCTTTCCTAAGCGTGTGGTGGTCCTGCAGGCCTGGGCTGGTGAGTCAACCTGCGTGTCTACTGCAGACAGAGCATGCCCTCACAACTGGAGGGATCATAACAGCCCCAAGAAAAGGAGTAGGAGACAGAAATGAGTGCCGTCAATATCTTTGACCAGCTTATTCTATTCTACTTTATTTTTGTTTTTTTAAGTGAACCTTCTAGGAAAGGACTCTCTTCATGCTCTTCAGAGCTTGGTTAAGTGACTGATGAGCAACAACTGCTCCAATGTAGGGGTGGGTGAGGCAAAGGCCAGAGAGATTCTTTGTTTGGCTGAGGAGTTGGCTGAGCAAATTGCAAAGTAATGATCAGAGCAGCCTGAGCCAAGAGCTGCTGTCCCTTCCCCTCACCTCCCTCCCTATTGTAGAAATATCCGTGGTGACCTGATGCCAGCTGCCTCCCTAGTAGTCCCATAACATTTTGGTAGATTTCCTACAAAAATTTATCTTCCCTGAGTGGCATTCATGAAATGTCTGCTGGACACAGACTTGGGAACAAGTTTTACAAGAAAGTGGGTTTGGAAACTATGCTGCGAACATTTTTTTWAAAAAAAAACCTTTAAAAGTTTAAAACCTCAAAACTTCTTTATTGTGTAGAGTCAAAGTGCGAAAGCAGAGTCTGTACCTTCTGGATACTCCCACTGAATGGTTTGAGGACACCTGAGTTCTTCTTCACATCATCATAATTGGGGACTCCACCAATAAAAATGTCCGTGTTGCACTTAATCTGCGTGAAGCCTCCCTGCCAAGAGATCAGAGTGACAAATCACAACAGAACTTTAGAAGAGCTGGCCRAGATCAGCAAATGTGCCTTTGGTTCCCTGGTTGGGGATCCAAATGGTGGAGATGGCCTCGAGACCCGTCATAACCATCTGTGCTTGACTTTCCCATTGTTCCTGAACATGGACTTGGATGATGGAAGATTTCTTAACATCTCTGGGACTCAGTGTCACCAAAACAGGAATCATACCACCTACCTCCTAGGTGTTCCACGGCAAGCATATTCTGTGCTCCTCCAGCAATACCTCCCTGTTGGAAGATCGCCTCCAAAAAGCCCAGCTCAGGTTGGGCCGTGTTGCTTGCTTTAGCAATAAACATGAGCAGAAGAGAAATGAATCCCTGGGGAGAGTCTTTGGAGTCAGAGGCTGRTTCACCACACTCTTCTCCCTCCCTGTTCCTCCAGCCAGGGTCTCAGATGAAAGCTAAAGTGGATTACTGTGATTGGTGACATGAGCAAGAACTGACCCTTGTCCTCAGCTGTTGATATGTTTTGGGGTTGCCTGTGACTGACGACAGCCCTGTCCAGCACATCCTGGAGGCTGAGATACTGTTTAGTTAGCACTTTTCCCAGAGTTGGATGCACATCAGCATTCCAGAAMGAGGCTGTTGGGTAACTCAATAAGGGTAACTCAGAAGCCCTGATCAACAAGAGAAAGAGAGGCTGGGCACAGGACAGATGGTTGTTCCTCAAGACCAAATGCAAAGGCCACAGAGATTCTTTGTTTTCTCAATTCTCAGGGAACTTCCCAATATCAATYCCCCAAAGGCTTCCCTTGTTTCTTGCTGGGCTAGGTTACAAGCTGTACCTAATAGTTAATGTAGGAGCTCATTCCAACAGGAGCCATGAGCAAACTGTTGAACTGTTATAACACACAGCAATAAACAAAGATCTGAGAATCCTGGGGACAAACAAGTTATTAGGTAACATAAGTTATTATTTCCCTTGGTTTATGGTAAAAAAATACAAATAGTAGTATGATTCCATCATTTATTTAATGAATGTTATTAGGCACCTACTAGGTCCCAGGTATTATGTTAAGTGCTGGACAAACAAGAGCARATAAGAAAGACACAGTACCTGTGCYGCAGGGGTTATACTCRTTGGAAGACTGACAAGCCCATGGGCAGATGGGTTCAGCACAGGTAAAGAAKGTCTAGGTTCCTGTGGGTGCACCTGAGGGGTAGGGATGGCTCTTACCTAACCCTAGACATAAGGAATAGGCAGGATGGTCAGGTAAGAGAACTGGAGAAACTGGAAGGAGYCAGGACTTGGAGGGTATAGAAGTAAATAAGGAAAGGACAAGTCAGATCATGCAGAGCCTTAGAGGCCATGTTAGGGGTTTACACTTCACCCAMAAGGCAATGAGTTTTAAAAAGAAGAGAGGTGGGGTTGGGGAGGGGGAGAGGTATGTTTTAGGAAGGTTACTGGTCACAGGGAGGAAGATGGATTGCGGGTCATGTCAGGGGTGGAGATGAGGAGACAGAGATCATAGAGGAGGTTGCTCATTTCTTTCTGGGAGGGTTCTAGGTCCACTCAGGTAGCCCAGGGAAATCTTGATTAAATTAATAGACTGAATTTCCTTTGATCCATAACCTTGAGACAACTTCATGGGTCCTTATTTAACTGGAAGGTCATCAAAGAAGCCACAGCGTTTTCAGGAAGTCTTGTGGCCCAACACAATACAGAATCAGGCGGGAATCGTTGCCACAAACCCAGGTGTTTTTATCCCTTGTGTTTGCTCTTACCCCAGAGTTAAAATAAGAGTAAGGTAAAAGGAACAAGTTTGCAGGAGCCACCAGGTTTCAGAGCTGCAGGATGTTCTGAAAAGATGGAATTCTCATTGTGTCCACTGCATGGAGACGGGCCTCTGGGACTAAGAATCCATTCCTTTTGGAAGCTGTTATGGATTGGATGTGGGGTATCCCCCTAAAGCTCATGTGTGAGACCACACAAGGAGGTTCAGAGGAGAAATGATTGGATTATAAGAGTCTTAACCCAATCAGGGAATTAATCCCCCTGATTGGGATTAGCTGAGTGGTAACTGAAGTGGTAGGGTGTGGCTGGAGGAGGCCGGAATTGGGGTGTGGCTTTGGGGTATAATATTTGTATCTGGCAAGTGGAGATCTCTCTCTCTCTCTCTCTCTCTCTCTCTCTCTCTCTTTGTGCTTCCCGATCATCATGTGAGCTGCTTCCCTCCACCATACTCTCCTCCATGGATGTCCTGCCTTACCTCAAGCCCTGGGGAATGGAACTGGCTCTCTGTGGATTGAGACCTATGAAACCATGAGCCCTTAAATATAACTTTGCCTCCTCTACAATTGTGTTGGTCGGGTCTGTAAGTCACAGTGGTGAAAAAGATGATTAAAACATCCACTCAGTGTCCTCCCAGTCACCCTCCTGTTGAGGCAGGGCTACAGCTGCCACACCTACRGGACCAGGAGAGAAGCCAACAGACCCACCAGAGGGAGGCCTGCTGAGTCAAGTGCTCCCTGCCTGGACCTGACTGCTGCATGGTGGCGRCCACACACCCTCACCACCCCTGGGGGTTTTGGGAGCCCTCGGGAACACTGCCTGCAGCTGGAGCAGAGGGCCTTGTGGGTGACGAAGGTCAGCCATTGGGCTTTCCATGCCTGGCTAAGAAGCTTCAGAGGAACTTTCCTCAAGTGCACACGCTGTAGGCATACCTCCCCGCGTGTTTACATTGCTCCAGGTGGGCACAGGCTCCAATCAGCCCTGTCCACCCACAGGCAGTTCAAAAAAGCCAAGAGGGAGAGTGGACTCTAGGGTATGGGTTTAATTCTCATTCACTCGTGTGGTGATAACATCAACCCTGAAGTGGGGTGCTTTTGATGTTACCATTGGGTTGTCTCTGGGATCCTAAAAGCAAATACCATGAGCTGAAGARCTCCTTATTTACAATCAGAGGTTCTAACCCTACTGTTTCCAAAACTTCCATCCTGAGCTTTCATTCCTGTTTCACAGATGACTGTCAGGACTTGATACAATCCTTCCTTCTTCCCTCCCTTTATTTAAAATTTATATGTTCAAGCCAATAGTCAGTCGGRTCTATACTGCTAGAATGTTCTGGATGGCACCAGAAGTGACTCCAATTCTCCTTTCAAAATTCTATTTCCTTCATCYGTCTTCCCTCCTCTTTTCCTAGGTGTGAGTGGTATCTACCTTTTCAAGCAYACCGAGTTTGGGATTCTTCTCATCTCAAGGGGGTTCTTGGTTCAGGACCCCTAGTGCTGCAGTCTCTAAGGMTGGCTTCTGGACATACATATCTATCTTTGTCTTTTCTGCCAAATACCACTTTTCCCAACAAAGGTCTTTTTCCTTCTTTTTCTATCAAAACATTTGCTTGTCAGGATACCAAAATTTGTCAGKGCCTCCTTAAATCTCACTTTGCCCAGAATGGAGACTGTTGAGAAACCAACTGTTCTCTCTGTTTTTCAGGGGCTCTAATTTTTGTGTGTGAAGAATTCTAGTGATTTAAGCAAATTTCCCCTTTTTTTGCCTCTATCATGTTTTTTCTCCCTGGACATGACCTAGAAATGAAATCATGGAGGAAAGTCACAAACTCCAGTAAATATTCTGCCCTTGAGTGCCTTAATAGTATGTTAATACGTAATAATAATCATCATAATTAATAATAAGTAAAGCTACATAGTGCTGCCCAGGTGCTGTTGTACTTTGTATTGATAATTCTTGCATTTCTCAGACCCACTCTATGAAGTCGTCACTATCATTGTCATTATGGTCACTGTGTGAATATAATAGTGAGATGAGACAAATAACCTAGGAGGTCAAGTAACCAACATGACCTTATGCCATCAGTAAGTAACAAAGTTAGATTTTGAATGCCAACATTATGGTTTGACAGTCTGTTTTTATAAGATTAATCTTTCCTGTACCACCGACTCTACCTCACAGACTGTGTTCTGATCTACTCCATTGATTCTGCCCGTAAGGACAGGGTAGTCATGGGGGTAAAGGGGAGAGAAGGCAATTTTTTAAGTGCTCATCTTATTAAGTGTTAATTCACGTGTCCATACAGCAAACCTATGAAGCCTGTACTATTATTATGCCCATTTACAGTTAAGGCAYAAAAAAAAGTAATTGCCCAGAGGAGGGCTGGGATTTCCATCCAGGCACTGGAACCTGTGTGCTTAAACACTATACAGTGCTGCTTTTCCACCGTGTTTAGTAGAAAACAGTAACCTGGTTTTCACTCTCAGACGGGAGAAAGGGTTGTTCTTACCACTGCCATTCCCTCTACTGTCTTCTGCTTATCCACCTGTAAGATGCCATTCTTCGCTGTGCGAGATACACGAAGCTCGTGCCATTGGCCCAGGGTGAGGGCATCTTCACTCCTGTGGAAGGGACATGTATGTTAATTTCATTGGTCAACTTGGCTGAGCGAAGGGATACCCAGGAAACTGGTAAGATGTTATTTTGGGGTGAGTCTGTGAGGGCATTTGGGGAAGAGATTAGCCTTTGAGTTGGCAGACTGTGTAAAGAAGACGGCCCACCAATGTGGATGGGCATCATCCGTCTGCCGTGGGCCTGAAGAGAAGAAAAACATGGAAGAAAGGTGGATTTCCTCTCTAAGGGARCTGGGACATCCATCCTCTCCTGCCCTCGGACATTGGCGCTCTCAGTTCTYAGGTCTTCAGACATGGACCTTTAGCCTCCTGGTTCTTGGACCTTCAGACTCAAACTGGGGCTTACACCAGGGTCTTCCCTGGTTCTCTGGACTGGAGGCTTGGGCAGAATGACACCACTGGTTTATAGATGGCAGACCATARGACTTTTCACTTTCCGTCACCATGTAAGTCAATGCTTCTAGATAAAACTCTTTCTGTGTATCTCTATTTAACCTATAGGTTCTGTTTTGATGATGATCTTGACTAATATGGATGGAAATAAACCTGAGTGAGCATATTATGGATAATTTTCATCCATCTAGTTATGAAAAAACTAATACAAACCTTAGTAAACTCAATCCATTCAACAAAAGGAAAACAATGTCTACTTAGTAACAAAGCAGTACCGACTACCATTTATTGAATGCCTTCATGGGAGGAGAATTGCTTTTATAATTTTATTTCTTCCTTGAAAAAGACTGAAATGTGGGCACAGTAGATCTGGCTTCCTGGATGAAAGGTGACACGGAGGTAAAATATTATAGTAATTGTGCACAATCTTTGAAGAAGAGAAAAATTATATAGGTATGGTGCAAAAAAAAGATTCCTTGGTATATGGATGCCTGCCATATTTTTTTGAAATGCATATAAAGCAAGGATGGAATGGATGGATAGATATGATAAATCAAGTGTGGCAAAACATTAATTATAGGCTACAGGTGTTATATATAAGGATATTTACAACTCTTTAAACGTTTTTTAACTTTTCATAATGAAATTTGGGGGAGATGCTATGATTTGAATATGTCCCCCCAAGTCCATATGCTGGGAACTTATCCTCAATGTCTCAATGTTAATAGTGTTGAGAGGYGATTAGGTCAAGAGGGCTCTACTTTCATCAGTGGATTAAGACCAACATCACTGGAGTGAGTTAGTTACGGTGGGGGTGGGTTCCTAGTAAAAGGATAGATTCAGATCCCTTCCTCTTCCACCTTCTCTTATATGTGTACTCTCTTCCCCATCTACATTCTGCCATGGGATGACACAGTTAAAGTCCCCTGCCAGCATGCAGCCCCTTGACCTTGAATTTTCCAGCCTCCAGAACTGTGATAAATAAGTCTCTGTTYCTTATAAATTACCCTGTCTCAGGTATTTTGCTATAGCAGCACAAAGTGGACTAAGACAAGGGAAAATAGATTCTATGTTCTCTGATGTTATGAAAAGGATTACAATTACTTTAAAATTCAATTACTAAATTGGGGTGGAAGAGCTTGAAGCTTAAATGATATTTAGAGGTGTTTTATGCATTTCTTTTTTATAGTGAGGTGTGCAGAAAGAGTATTATTATTGCATTTGTATTTCTAGTTCCTGGCCCTCACTGAACCTCCCAATTATTTTTTGGTCCTGGATGATCTTTAGAAAACCACAAGGAATACYGATGGGCACAATTATTGAAGGGTCACCACCCCCTCATTTGATTCTTCAGCTCAGGCAAATGCTTTTGTGATTTGTCCTTAGCAATTAGAATTTAATCACCTTGGTTAAATCAATATGCAATAAAGAAACAAGAGGCTCCTTTAAAGTGGTCTACTTCCATAATAACTAACAGCACCCTTGTCATGTTCTTGTCCTGCCGAGGTCAGTGGCTGTCAATAAGCTTCCTCCCTCCACACAGTGTATTGATCAAGCCATCAAGAGCTCATTCCGATTGTCTCTATTTTTGAATCAAGTTCATAATGATTTTGACCATCTTGTCCTTTTCCTGCAGTCAAAATGGTTTGGCCAATTCTACAACTTCCTGCAGTTCATCCCTTCACTGAATTTTCCTAATGGAGGGGGAAGTCTTCAAAATGGTTTTCAAGATAAATAGCTTCCAGAGAGGCATCTGAAATACCAGCTGTGATCACGGTTGTCAGGTCCCAGTGGGCAGAGGAGGGGACCAGGGTCAGGTAGCAGTTTGTTTCTTGGAGACTCTTGCCTCGTTTTCAATATCTAATACTCAAGTATTCTCTTTCCAATCACCTTTCCTGACCGGTGGGAAAATAACTTACATTTAAAAAACATTAGAATTACAATGTGTCAAAAACAGACACAGAGTTAGGAAAGAGAGAAATTCTGGACCACAGCTAGAGCTGCCCCCAGAGAGAGAGGCAGGAAGACAGGTTAGACTGTCTAGAGGAGGCTGATGAGTCCTGTCCTCCCCAAGCTCTTTCTCATCATTCCTTACCTAGAAGAAGCCATTTAAAGTGCAAGGTGATATCAAGGTGTCCTCCTTTCTAAATTTGACATATAGTTCTAAGTGAATTGCTCTGGCTGTTTTGCATAATCATATGTAAATGGAATCAATTAAATACCCACCAAAGCTGTGCTAAGATATAGGATGTTTTTGCTTAACCAGAGATACAAAAATGTTTTGTCCATTCCCCAAGGTGGGAGGTGTCACCGATGTGTGGGAATTCAGCYACAAGGACAAAAATCAACTGTCTTTTCAAATAATTATTGGAACTKAATGCAGAGAGCATTTCCCATCAGCTATGAAAAATGATGAGCAGTTAAGGGCAGTGCATGGTGGTAACATCTCACCCACACACTCTCTAAAAAGGACAGGTTAGAAATATGAATACAGCCAGCAATTTCCCTTAAAACAACAACAACAGAATAACTGATAACCTGTTGCGGGGTGCCATTAGGTACACCCTAGTGAGTTTCAAAAGAGAAGAATCAGACAAATGTAGGAACAAGAAGAATGTCTGCATTAGATCAGTGGCCCTCAGGCTTGAAGGTTAAAACTACCATGAAAGAAACACAATGAGCAGAGGAAGACAGAAACCAGTAGGAAAAACACCAACACCTGCAAAACACAGGCTCCAAGGGATTCAAAATGATACTGACCTCTTGTACAGGAACCATCGATCTGCTACGGAATTTAATAGTACAAATTAGATAACAGGAGGAAAGTGTTGCCTAGTCAGAACAATCTTGCAAATATCAGCCAACACTTTAGAGGCACCCATGTACTGCCATGCTGCTAAAAAGCGCCCATCACACACCCTTCTGGAACTTTCTGATCTTTGCTATGTTGATGATTTATTGTCAGGTTCCTTCATAGAGAGAACAGTAAGTAAGAGACTTGCTAAATATCTGATTACCACCAAAAAAAAAAAAAAATAGCTCAAGAGGAAAGTTAAAAATTAAAATGAAATCCTGAAGGACATTTTTATTGGTTAAATATTTGTGAATACATTTTTTACTAGTCAACATGTGTTGGTTGAGCCCTTCCACTTGGCATTCTGTGTCAGGCGCTGATTGGTTACAATTCACGGTGCTCCTGCAGAAGGCAGAGCATGACGGCAGGTGGAAACGGAGGCTGTTTACCTTCCATAGGGGAAAAGCCCATTTTTAACAGTTTGGAGCAGAGAATCGTTACTTGTTGGGTCGTTATTTGGGAAAGGAAACTTGCAGGCAGGAGGAAAGCCTGTCATCTTTAAAAAGCAGGAGAGGTTTCCAAAGAGAACAGTGTAGGGAAGACAGTGTAGGGAGGAGGACAGGCTGGTAGAAGGCAATTTGGTCTTTGGTGGGGGGAGGCTGCAGATGGTGTCAGATCTCACCTCAGAACACCAGTCCCAGAGCCGCAGTCAAAACGGAACTCCACGTGGCCGCCTGCCATCGTGATGGACAGGAAGTCCTTGCTGTTTGTGTCATAACTGTATAGGAGAACACCGTCCCCTGCGTCCGGCCGAAACATGATCTCAAACTCAGTGAAGGAGAGGTAATGCTGGGGCTCCAGGGGCCAGGGTGTGGCAGCGAAGGATCTCAGAGACTCTCTGAACTGAGGGATGGTCAAGGTGAAAGCTGAAGGAACAAGCACTGTGTTAGGAATCCCTGTGTGTTAGGAATCCCTGGGCTGTGTCAGTTTGCTCCTGGGCACAGACCTGTCCTGCACTTCCCTGCTGCCTACAGGTGGACAGGTAGGGTGACTAGATTCTGACCAGTGGAATGGGGTTGAAAATATCAAATGGCATCCCAGGTCTGGCCCCTAACACTTCCCTCCATCCTTCCTGCTGTCTCTTCTCACAGAGCCAAGAAGAGCCACTGGGTAGAAGGGACCTGGGTCCCTGAGTGACTGTGTGGAGCAGAACCAACAGCACCAGCACTGACCTGCAGTGACTTGTGACTGAACAAGAATAACTATTGAAGTATGAGATGGTGTGCAACAGCACTGGAACATTCTCTCACACATACCCTTTTAGTGGTATGGATTTGAGATTATGTTTTTTTTTTTTTTTAAACTTTCCCCCAGTGTGATATCTTAGGTCCAAACCTGAATCACTCACAGAGGAATCTGACTTCCTTTAGTGATCTTAGCTCTAGTCTTGTTTTAATTTTGGAATTCTGGACATATTAAAGCATCCTCAAGCCTGTATGTTTTCCCAAGTCTTAGATTTTCAGTTATTATTTTCATGTGCCACTCTGCACCTGTGTTTGCATGCCTGTGTTACATGTATAGATATGTGTGTGTACAGAAATATATCGACACAGATTTATTACACACAATATTACAAGGTGGAATAACTCAGTGGAACCATAAAAAGAAGAAAAAATAAGAGCACTTTTGTCTCATCGTATCATTAATTTCTGTGCATGCCTTCCCAAACTTTTCTCCGAAACTGTCAGATGTTTAAAAAAAGCATAAGCTTTAAATACTTTTAATTCAGTGTGGTACAAACCACACAAATGCAGGCTTTCTAAAAGGTATGAGGAGCCCACCCAAGCTTAGCATCTCAAAGTGAATGTATCTTTGGTTGGTTTGGAACTCTGGCACTCTGATCTATTTTCATCCCTCCCAACAAAGCAATCTTGATCCCATAAAAATATATGGGGCTTTGCTAAAAGTGCACTGATGAAAGATCAGATCCACGCAAATTAACATGCARATAGAAACTGCCATCAACTTGCTTCTTTCTCACCATCTTCACAGTGTCGACCTTTGAACCCAAGGGGACAGAGGCAAATGTAGGAGTCGGCTTTGATTGCTGTGCAGGTGCCACCATTGATGCACGAGGCCTCATCACATATTCCACTGCTGCATTCCCCTAAATGCAGAAGAGAAGGAAAAAGCCAATCCACCAGGCCAGCCATGCAACTCCCGTGCCACCACACAGACATTCATGGCCCTGAAAAATTATACCCTGCTCCCCACTCCTGTTGGTCTGCACCCCTGCTGCACGGCTGCACACTGGCTTGCAGCATAAGTGGAAACTTCTCTTCTTTTTTATATGATTTTGACATGTGCTTTCTAAAGAGCCTCAGGAACTTTTAAAGACATGAGGGACACAATAAATCAAATAATAAATCATTGGGCAATTTTAGGACCACCCATGGGAATGACTGAATTTTTCCTGCTTTCATCCATCTCTCTGTTGTTCCYGCAAGAGTGGATTTCAATCCCTCTGATGGCAACAGAGTGTTTATGTTAAAAGCATTCTAATTTGTGTGACCCCAATTAGCTTAAGTGCGGCTGCCTTGTTGGTTCAAAGTTGAGAAAAGCAGGATAAGCGCTGGAGGAGTRCAGCAGCCATGCCTAAGCTTATTAACTTGTCTGGGCTGTGGACTTCTCTGTCTGGGACAGGGAGGGGAGGGGAGGGCTCCATGGTGCCSAGTGGAATCCCTGTTTCTGTTTCCAAAGTTACAGTTGTATGAAGGACAGCAAGGTGCCCTCCAGCAAAGACTGCTGAAGGGTCAGCTTCAGATGGGCCCATTCTCCCTACCGGACACCTCAGAGAGCTGCATAGAGGACTCCTTTGTTATTTTCAAGATTATGAGATGAAGGGAAAACAAATGGACACTTTCCGGCTGCTTTCCTTCTGCTTCTCTGGTCCTCCAATTCTTTCTTTAGACACAGGGACCACAACCCGGCCCAGTGGTATGGATTTGAGATGATGTTAAACCTGAACTACATAGGGCAGAGCAAAGCACCTGCTGCCGGGTTGAAGCAGAGGGGAACGTTTGTGACTGGGCCTGAGGAGTCCAGCTGTGGCGCTCGCCCTCCCCAGTCTCCAGCATGGCACCTGTGTGGGCTGGAAGCTGCCCCTCTGTGAGACAAGGGGCCCTCCGTGTCCTGATTGTGTCATCTCAGGAGGACAAGTGTCACGGTGCTTTCCTGATCAGCCGCCTGCTTTCATTGGTCCAGTTTTGTCTTTTTATAGACTCACTGGGAGCAGGGTGGTGCTCTTAGCATGTACCCAGGAGAGGAGACTGGCTTCAGAGGCTGCTAACAGGATTTAGTTAAAGTCCTTTAGAGGGAGCACCACCCGGGCTGGGCTGGGCTRGACTCTGTGAATTCTAGCTGTTGGACACTGGGAATTCTGGTAGAAGTGACTGTGGCCTCTCTTCAGCCACAAACCTGAGAACATGGCACCCAGCATTTGGTCTCCACAGAGACACCAGTGTTGGTCGTAAGGAGCCARACTCTCACAGGTCCCTGTGCATCACCTATTTCTGTGGAGTGCAACTCTTTCTCAGAGGAGGCCTATTTCCAGAGGAAAAGTGGTGTCCTCAGATCCTTTCAGAGACACATGGAAGAAATTACTTGACATTATTGCATGTGAAAACCAGCCATCTCAGGGTATTTACTTGATGAAAGCAGAGTTTCAGCAAGATCACACAGGGAATGGCATGCAAGGTCAAGGTGACTGATGAGGGGCAGGGGAGGGGGGAGGAAAGAAATCCCATGGGGAGGTAAGCAAGGATAGAACAGGGAGAGAGCAGAGGAATACCCCCAAAGAACCAATTCATTCTAGAAACTGAAAGAGGAMGGAGACTTCGGCAGCATCTCAAGGTGTGTAGCTTGGAGACAAGAATAACCGTGCCAAGAGTGAGGAGATGGGGGCTATGAAGTGAGGAAGCAGAGGAGGAGTTTGCTTGGGCTCCATTTTAAGCACAAGAAGACTGTGGGAATGTCTGCTGTGGGAGTCCAGAGTCAAAGAAAGGAGACAGGTTCCCTGGGTTCCCAGTCCAGGGTCACTGTGGCACTTGTTAAAGTAGGAGAAGACACATCTGACTGAGTAAGTAGAATAAGCAGAGAGGCTAATGGTGCAGGGCGTCTGTGAACTTAGATGGGGAAAATATTACCTCCTCATTGTTCTGACCAGAATTGAGTGTCTCTCTCAACCATTATTTTAAATTCTTTTAACTCCCATTTTTTTTGGTGCTGGAGATTAAGTCGGGCTGTGCACATTCTCTACCACTGAGCTCCCTGCCCAGCCCTTCCTTGAACTCTTAACTCGGGGATGAACTCCAAGTTCATTGCCAGTTTAGTGATCTCCCAGGTATCGTCATATTGCATTTGTTGCAAATATCTCAAAATACGTCTGCTGGTGGCTACTTTGAAATCACGTAGTCATTTCACTCACTAGAGACCCTCTCTCTACCCAGTCCCTAAAAATCTCCCCGTTACACGCGATTATTGCACTATCACTTCTCTTTTGTAACACTTCCCCCAATTGTCATTTTACTTTGATTCGTGGGATTATTTGATTGACGAGGTCTCTCCTCATGGCAGCTGCATGGCAGCCCAGCTGGGGCCTGTCTGTCTCGTTCATCACTTCATCTCTAGCACTCCGCATTGAGAYGAGCACTAAACATGTGCTCAAATAAGTATTTATTGAGTGAGAGAATGAGTAAGAGTTGATGAGCCGGAGTGAGACTCACGGCTGTCACCAATAGGCGCTGTGTTGCATCTTCCTCAAAGTTCATAGGTTGACACCCTCACTCCCAATGTGGCTGCACTTGGAAATAAGGCCTTTCAGGAGGTAATTAATATATTACATGAGATCTTGGGAGGGGGGCTCAGGTCCAATCTGACTGTTGTCCTTAGAAGAAGAGGAAACTTGGATGCAGAGACCCAGGGGCACACACACGGAGGAAGACCACGTGAGGCTCTTTGAGAGAGCAGTCAGCCAGCCGAAAGCTCAGCAAAGAGCCCCAGAGGAAGCAGAGCCTGCCTGCACCTTGACCTTGGACTTCCAGCTTCCAGAACAGGAGAAAATGAACTGCTGATATTAAGGCCATGCGATCTGTGACACTGTGTTACTGCAGCCTTGGGAACCAAGACAGAAAATGTGTGGCATGGTGGTCAAAAATGAGAATTTGACCTTCTTCCTGTAGAACAGAGGACATGGAAAATATCTTCTTATATGATTGTGTTGGCTTTTACCCTGGACAGGGAAAGTTGGGGGGAGAAGGCTGATGGGTTGGCTCTGCCCAGTGCGCCCACACTGCATTTCCAGCAGAGGTTAAGATGGCAGCAGGGTAYGTCCCAGGGTTTGCTTCACCCTATTGATACCCTATGCTCAGAGTCAAGGTCAACATGTTCACAGAGCACCAGCATTTGCCGTCCTCCCCCCTGAGGTTCTGCAGCCCTTCTGGCTGCTCACCTTCCTGGCCCAAACCAGAAAGGTAACCCCACAAACCCTCCCAATCCACTGGGCAGTCACTTACCCACATCAGCCCCACTAAGGGCTTTCCCCAGCGGCCAAGGCCTCATATCCATTCTCTTCCCATTAACCGAAAGCGACTGCACACAGCCTTGAAAGCCTCGGTTTGTTCCCGTTGCTCTGACCAACCAGTAAGCGCTGGGAGCCCCACCAAGATAGAGAGGTGTCCGGAAAGTAATTTTACTGTACTGGCCCTTTAAGAAAAATAAGAAACGATCTCACCAAACAAACTCAAAAGCCCAAACACAGCAGAATTTGGTAAAGAAGGCTGTTAAGATGCAGGTTACAGTCCCAGGGTTCTCTTTCACAAGCATTTGTCTTTAAGACATGGCCCTATGGAGAAATGAAACCCACAGTTACCATGTGAAACTCAGGGAGCTCCCGGGGGCTGTGCTTCCTGCAGGGAGGATGTTGGAATGCCCAGAAAGGAAGGGAAGGGAGGTCAGAGCCCAGACCCACCCAGCAGGCCCTGGACCATGCCAGGCATCCAAAAWCAACCTTTCTCTTTCCAATCCTGACACCAATTTACTGTGTACCTTGGACGGGTCATAGGGCTATACTGTCCCCCAAAGGTGGCCATACTAATTTTGGGTATATGTGGGCCAATACCTACCCTTTCACTCACCAAACCGCCTTTCTACTATGTGCAGCAGAAAACACCACAGGGGAGTAATTGCCAAACAGATTGTGTTGCAAGATATTTTTCAGTTGGCCTATGGATGCAACTTGTTTTTAAAAATGTCATTACAGCGAGGCAGGGAAATTTCCCATCTTAGACCGAACGGCAATCCAGATAGCAGGTTTGGAGGTTACAAAATATAGAGCTGAACATTAGTAGGAGAAAATTAAGATACCGTGTTCTTTGTTTTTGTTAGGAAAGAAATATCTCCTTCATTTGAATGAAAGGATAAACACAGGATCTGGGGAAAGGCACGCGCGGCCACAACTTAATAAACACACGAATCTGAATCCTTTTAACTCTGTTTCCAGCAAGTAGAAATGTAATCATTGTTTTTCTCTTTTGTAATGCACAGATAAGAATCATCTGTTAATAGSGGACTGAGCAGGACAGTAGTTGCAGTGGGGTTGGAGGATTAATTAAGTTGTTTGCCAGCTGCTGGACACAGTGCTTTCATTAGATGAATTAAACATTTTCTTGGCTTCTCTTATCAAGATCTTCAGAGTTCTCTTCTTCCTGATCCCATCCTCACCCTTTGGGTCTTATCCCCTGATCCAGGATGGAAGCAGGTGAACTGACAGCTCATTCTCTTTCTAGAGCATTAAGTGCATCAGAGGGGGTGGGTGTCTCCTTGGAGGAGCCCTTCACAACGTCTCTCAGGCAGCTGTCTTTAAGCCTTTACCCCTCATGAGGTTAATTTTGGGTCCCTGGAGACTGCTTTGCCTGCAGAAATGGAAGTGATCTGGAGTTTGCATTACCCCAGAACCGCCCTTGACAGTTTGAGACAGCTCTGAGGTATAGTCTATACTCCAGAGCTCCACTGGGGGACCAGGTCGGAGCCACACACTGAAAAACTGTGTCTGAGATCTGGCCCTTGCTGACTTCTTCCTCTTCCCTGTTCATCTTCTCTTCTTCCTTACCACTCTCCCTGAGGAGCATTTTCTTAATATATTACTTGTATGGGATTCCTCATCTCAAGCTTGCTTCTAGGGAAGCAAACTTAAAATAGAATTGCTGTCTCCCCAGACAGTTTATTAAATATTCCACATCTGTGGTCCTGCTTATGGACTTGCTCAGCAAGTCCCAGTAGGGTAGAGGCAAACTTTGCCCTGAGTGCCCACAAAAAACTACCTGATGTTTTGCAATTAATTCTTATATTTATTAAAATTGTAGTTTTAGGAGACTGGAAAAAATGTGAAAACGTAAATCATCTGAACTCGCATTAGTCATTGGATTCCTTGTACATCTCTATCAAAGGTTTAGATGACTTGCTTTTTGAATACCTGTCCCCCCAAGGGCAGAAAAACATCCCCTGAGACAGTCCATATCATACACCTTTGTATGATTAGGTGAAGTTAAAAATGGTCTCCCCAAGGCATTTCCCTTTCCGTTTCAGGCTTAGGGGTCAACTGAATAAAACCTCCTTCCCCAAGACTCTTTTTTTCATTCTGCAATGAAAAGCAACATGCCCCCATCTTCTCATATCTAAACAAATACTCCTTCCATCAACCATTAAAAGGATTTTAAGTCATCTTCCTATGTGGGTGACTGGCCCTTGAATGTGCTCCTATTTTTCTGTGGCTCTCTTACAATGTCATTACAGAAACAAATGTAATCCTTTTAGAGGATTAGAGTCACCATTACAGTCACTGGAAACTATTATATAGTCACTAAAACAGAAAAAGACTGTTACCAGCTTTTTTCTACGTTCTATGCCTCTATTAATGCAGCCTATACTTTCCTTATCTTGTTTTTACTGCTCTGTTTTTTCATCATCACTGAATTTCCTTGCTTTAAACTATAGGAGATTTTTACATGCATTACATGTATTTTAACATCCTGTCTTCTTGTTTGTATTTTGTGTCCAAGTTTRAAGTCTTTTTAGTTCTATCAAATTTCACTTATCAAGTTTGTCTTATTGTTCTGGCTTTGATGTGACTTTGTGGTTCATTTATCTGTCCTTTTATTTAACACAATATCTTTATTTATTTTTTATATGGTGCTGAGGATCGAACCCAGTACCTCACATGTGCAAGGTAGGTACTCTACCACCGAGCCACAGCCCCAGTCCCTGCCTGCCCTTTTATTCTCCAGGAATATGGGTATAAATGGTATCCCTGTACTCACATTCATTACATTTGGATTTTTGTTCCTTTGGAAACTTTGGGTCCAAATTTATGACTTTTTTTTTTTTTGCCTTTAGAATCATGAAGACATGACCCTTTATATAACACACCTTGCCAGARCAGAGTAGTGGAGAGCCCAGGAGGGGAGGAAGCTTAGACATATWCACAATGGTTTCCTTGCTCCATTTGCCCTAAGAGAACACAGATACCTGCCTGTTTATAATTACAGGTTCTGTGTCTTGGCAGGTTGCTAACCTGAGCTCTTTACCCTAAACACAGTCTTCAAATTACTCAGAGCATAACAAATATATGAATTCCTASGTGATTTGCTGAGTAACCCAACAGTTAAATTATTTCCCCACTTCCCACAATGACGACCTCCACAAAGGTGGTGAATTCATTATTCCTGCATCTTGAACCAAAGGAATCTTTCCAGCTATTTTCTAAAGCCACAGGACTCTGACCCTCCTGCCTCAAAAGGAAGCTTTGAGTCTAACATTGATGAGGGAYTGTTCTTCCAACAGGGGCTTTCCTTGGTTTTCATGTCCCTGTGATGTCTTTGTGGATGCAGAACACGTTCCTGGGCACACTGGACCCAGCAGTAATGATGCCTGTTCAAGTCTCCCTGCAGTGCGTGTGGCCTGAAAGCTCACCTGGAGCAGAGCAGGAGCTTGGCAAAGCCTTGATGGTGTGGGTCCCTTTGCATCCTGCTGACTGACCCTGCCTCAGCTCTCTGCAGGGAGCCCCTCTCCGGAAGCCAAGGGTGAGTGTCAGCGGGCCAGCAGGGTGTGAGCCTTACCTGGGACTGGCCTGTCATGGGGGTGCCATTGTTCAGCTGCAGCAGCCCATTCAGCCCATCTCTGTAGAGCACCACTGTGTGCCAGGCCCCCAGTTTGATTTTAGTCTCACTTACAATGATAGCGACCCCTGTTCCACAATTAAACCTGTTAGGAGAAAAGGGAAGGAAGATTCTTTGAATAATTGGCTCACTGTGTTTCCAGACTCTATGGACATACCTTCCAGGACATCAGCTCCTTCCAGAGTGGGTCTGTTCAGAGCTGTGYCTACAGATATCAGCAGCTGTGTAAACCTGAGCCTGGACGAGCAAGATRCCTCTTCCCTGGAGGCTCCATCTATTTCTCCTTAACCTGTCCATGGAGCCTTTGGACATAGTGTCTTCTTTGCTGGATCATCTCTGCAGCTCAGAAAATGACAGGTGGCCAAAGCCCTCCCTTCTCTTTTTCAGATACTGCCAGATGTGGAAAGTGGGTTTGAGGTGCATAGAATTAGAATGTGAGCCACTCTGCTTCCAGACATTTCTCTGTGGACTTTCTCCACCTCTCAAATGACAGGCAGAGTGATATTAATAAAACATAAAAATCCAAGTCTTCACACTCATTTTGGCAAGCCAGCTAGCCCTGCCATCTGTGGGCAGCTGTACCCACATACAGGTGAGGTTTCTATAGGAGCCTCCAGCTCTGGGGCCAGGTGTGGGGCAGAGGAGGAGCATGCTTAGGTGGCTGCATTATTTTCTTTTCCCAACCTCCCTAGGGTCCAGGGCTGCCCGATCATCACTGTGCCTGAGAGGCAGAACTTTGGTCCTCTCTGGTTAACTTCTAAACAGCCACCATGCCACTTGCATATGGATCCTGAGAGTGCTTCCCTGGGAGAAGGTGTGATGGGCATTGTCCTTATTAGGATGTGCACAGTCCGCAGCCCTCTTTTCCTATCCTCCCAYTTTTCTCATGACCTCAGTGGAATGGCATGGTGTCCACAGGCTTCATAAAGAGGGATGTCAGAATCACTCAGCATGCACTGCAGAGCTTAAGAGCTGCTACCAGCCAGGAACTGCCAGAGCTATTGTGCATCTCTGGCAACCTCCAGGTGCTAGAGCCCCATGAGGTTAGAACCACTGCCCAATCCTGGSAGCTGCCATAAAACTTCCAGAAATGAAATCACTTAGCAAAGAATGAAGGTCCATTTTCTAGTTCAATTGGGATGCTTAAAAGTTTTTCTACATGAAAATTACTTTGTGTGCTGAAATAATATAAAGAGACCATACATAACCTCTGATGCATCTCAAGTGCCTGCTGAGGAGATGGGGTTGTGGGATGGGGGAACTGCTCCAGGCACCTGTACAGGTGAACTCACTCAATCCACTGAGGTCCTGGAGAGATGCAGGCTCAGAGAGGTGCTATCAAGCGCTGCAGGTGACGCAGCAGGGAAACAGAGCCATTGGGACCTCAGCCAAGCACCACGGAGAACGACAAGGCAGAAGCCCCCTGGTCACTCACAAATAGGTACTGGGTGTACCCCTCACTCCTCCCTGAAACTGTCCTGGGAAGGCCACCCATGTACTAGGGGTGGCTTCTAAAAGTGTGCTGGGAGGAATGACCAGGGCAGAGGAGGCAACCCACTGGMTTCACCACAGCCCTGAGGGAAAGAGGACGTGGCTTGAGCCTCTGTGAACCCTCTGGAGGCTGTGGGCTCCTCTCTGCTCTCTGTGGCCATCAACCCTGTTTGCCCCAAGGGTACCAGAAGGAGCTCGCAGCCTTCTTCCCATCAAGTCCACTGGAGCCCCAGCACAGAAGGGCCGACCTCCGGCTTCCTGCTGCATCAGCTGGGTGCACCAGAGCTGTCTGCTGCTGGGTGAATGGGGCGGCAGGTTCCAAACCCCAGGTTTTGAAAGGCCCCCTGAAGTCCTGACGCTCGGTGTTGGGGAAACCGGTCGGCACTCCTCTTGTGCTACACGAGTCCATCCTCTCTATGTTTTACTTCCTCTATAAACTGGTCATATAATGTAAGGAGAATTTTTAAAAACTGGTAGGGATTTGGGCCAGAGTTACCTGAACTGCAGGGAGCGTCGGATGATAGCCAGGGACATGAAGTCGCCCCTTCCATATTCGTTCTCCCCGCAGTAGAGCAGCAAGCCGTCCTCTGCCTCCGCCTGTTGTTACACGAAGAAAAGCCACATGAGCAGTGACGGCCTCCTCCTCCAGGGGGCGCCATCTGGACGCACTCAGGAATATGCAAGCTGAGCATTCTGCCTGCGGGTACCCTGTCTACAAGGTGCCCAGCATGTGGGCTCCGATTCACTSCCAGGCCCAGTGCATATTGTTAAACAGGGGGTCAGTGATGTCAGCAGTGTGTAGAAATGGCAGGGAGGTGAGAGGAAGGTCCCACCGCCCCCCACCGGCTCTTGCCTTGGCTCTGTGGACCCGTCTGCGGAACCTCCAGAAGACATGTGCGCATGTGCACACATGTGAGCACACCACTAGCGCTCACCAGTTTCTGACACCAAAGAGCATTCTACTTTTTTCTTTACTCTTTTTACTAGTCTTCATTCCTTCCTGGGAGACCTGCACATTTGGTTTTTACTACCGGGAGACCAGGATGGGGAAAAAAAAAAAAATTCATCTGATTGGCCTGCTGGTTATCTTAGATGAGGATACTGTGACAGGTACTTCAAGGGGGGCTTGTTCCAGATCTTCAAACCTCTTTGCTTCTCCAAAGGTAGTAAAAAGAATCACTTAAGCTGAACTAACTGACTGAGTTCTGATCTGCAGCTGATTCAGACCAGAGAGCCTCTGCCGGGTTCTCCAGATATGCTGTGGGAGGAGCTGGTGGTAGTACAGTTTTCTGTAGGTTCAGTGTCAGCCATTGCAATGAAGACAGACACTGGGGTTCCCTTTAAGGAGGATTTGGGAATACAGCATGCAGTGTTACTTCTGAAGTCCTGGCTGGGAGGAGACATGGCTATGGACAGCTATGCTGGGACCCCAGCACCCTCTCTGGAAATCTTCGTGCCTGTCTAGATCGGTGGTTCAGTAACACACCACCCCCACCCCCTTACCCCACTTTGGCTTCGGGCTGTAACTGTCCCGAATGCGCCCATTGCTCCTATTATATCTGGTTAGAGGACCGGCTCTGTGTCAGGTTGATCTTGGATGCCTCCCCCTGCTTCCCCAGCCTGTTCTCCATCTCCCTTTTGATGCTCTAAGTTGCCAAATAAGCATGCAGTAGACGACTCACGCCCCTTACCCTAAATTCAAGAGTAATCTGAAATGCCTGATAGGAGTTCTTCAGAGGCTCAAAGGTTACATAGGAGTGGCCAAAGAACTGAGGATACTGAATAAGAATATCTGAAAAGCAAAAAGACAACATGAAAGGATGGTGTTGCCTCATTTCTTCAAGAGCAAAAATCAATATACACCCCTGCCTGGCTACCATGGAGTGGAAACCTTTGCTGATCTGTTCAACTTAGCTTATGTCTTCCTTTCTCTGCTTTTTACACCTACTGTTCTCACTCTTGGGGACTTGGAACTCTGAAAGTCTTAGGAAGTTATTGGATTTGGGGGRTTGGTGTTTGCTTCCCTAAAAAGAAATGGAAGGCTTTCAGACCACTGCCAGTCACTTTCCAGATACACATTCGTGTAATGTAAATTGGCCCAACTATGGTCCTTGTCACCCTCATGCCTGTGTTATTCYGGCAAAGCAGCTTCTTGGTAGAGATGAGCCAATTCTGGAGCCCACCTCTCCAAGGTGCTACTGAGATGACTTAATGGTGRCTGTTCCAAAGGACTACCCATCTGACACACAGGAGCTGGACTCTACGATTAGAAGCAGTGGAAGTTGCTTCACGATTTGCCTTGCTCAGCTAATTAAATGACCAATCTGAGGAGCAAAGGGCCTGTCCTACAAATGGAATAGAAGGAGACATGTTTGGATCACAGTGCTCACATCTGGCTCTCCATGGGGCCCAACCACTGCCACATTTTCCCCCAGAGCACCTACCATCTGAGCAGCTCTCGCCACCTTTGCCCAGGTTGCAATGGCATCGTGAGCCCCCCCAGGTGTAGTCATTGACACAAAAGCTGTCAGCAGGGCAGAGGATCTCATCACAAGACTTCTCGAAGAGCCTCGACATCATGGCTACGCCCTTCTTCCCCTTCCCTTCTGCTGGAGTGGGCTGGAGAGCCACGGTAGTTGTGGGGAAAGATGCTGAGGTAGTGGGGGCAGGTCTGGAAATGGACTGGGGGTCGGACAGAGAAGTTTCCACCAATACTTTCTTATTCCCTCCTTTGGTAGCAGGAAGTGGTTTCACCTAAAACCAGAGAAGAAAAAAAATTCAGCATAAAGACTGAGCATGGTAATTAGACTGCTTTACTGTGGGGGTTGCTGAATTCTTGAAAGTATGGTCGCTATTAGTACTTTCCCCAAACCCTGAGATGTAGATGGGGCAGAAGCCCTGACCCTGATTTATGGATGAAGAACTTGACATGGAGATTTTAAGTACCTTTTATTACTCAGAAAATCAGTGGTAATGCTGAGATTATGCGAGTTGTTCTTACTACATTATTACAAAGATGCACCATTTGTCAAGGAATTATTATTTCCTTAAAATAACTGATTTTATAAAATTTCATTGGTGGGAAATCTAACTGGGTTTTTGCCAGACTGTGGGATCAGCAGGCAGCGCTGTCTCAAGAACTTCAGCATGGCTGGATCTTCTCTACTACCAATTTATGCTCTCCTTGAGCTTCAGAGTCAGAGGAAATAAACATATGTTAAAAGCAAATGGGTCAATTTAAGTTTGAAGTAAAATGTTCGTGCTCCACTGGCTACATTGCCTTGTTCAGCAAGAAAGCTAAAGTCTGTGGGTTTGCAGAGCAGAGAGGACTGTTACCTCCTCAAAGGAAATGTCCAGATCTAGGTCGTCTTCAAATCCATCATCATCCTCTCCAGCACCCATGTCTGTGATATAACGAGGTCCATAGCGGCCACTTCCTGCTTCCTCAGGGCCTTCACAAAGAGAAGCAGCACATCTTGTGTCAACCTKCACCTTTGCACTATTATCTATCCTAACTATGCAGATCAGGATCCAAGGAATTCAAAGCAGTAGATAGAGGAGGCATCAATGATAGAGGAATGCAAAAATGCTTCCCCTTATAAGTAATTCAGGAAACGCCGACTAATATCAGAAAAAAAGCCGTTTTGAACTGACAAGCTGACAAAAATTTGAGTTGGGTAGTAAAAATATTATCAAGAATGGGATCCATAGGAACTCATGTTAGATGTGTAAACTGGTACAACCATTTTGCAAAACACTTGGAAATAGTTAATGTTAAGTCAAAAAATGTTCATGCCTTTTCACCCACCAATCCYACAACAACTTACACAACCTACAGAATTCTTGCATCTCTCTGMTCTACAGGTATGTGCAACACAATATCACAGCATCAGAATTTATAACAGCAGGACTGGGGATGTGKCTCAGTGGTAGAGCACTTGCCTAGCAAGCATGAAGCTCTGGGTTCAATCCTAGCACCACCAAAAAATAAAGTGATAGTAAAAATTACCCCAAAATTGCTATTTAGAAGAAAAAAAAATCCCAAATGTCTACTAACAGAGAATGGATAGATGAATTACAGTCTATCTATGGAATGGAGTACTGCATAGCAAAGGATGTGAAAAAAAATAGGCATTTAATGCACCAACAGGGCTTAATCTTACATGATTTCATGCAAAAAAAAAAAAGCAAGTTACAAAAGAACACATCCAATTTGATGATATATATGATAAAGTCAACAATAAGTAAAACTTTATGTATTATTTGGGGATACATATGTGTGTAATCTAAACTCTTAAGAAAGGTTAAGGCGAGGACAATCATAGAACTAACCCACGGAGATTGCAAGAGGGATGTGAACAAGGAGGGACAGGCAGGGGCGGCAGGGAGTGCTGTGTAGTACTCTGTTTAAGACAGGCGCTGGATGCACAAGTGTTGTTGGTATTTTATATACACCTTCTATATGTACATRCCTTCATATTTGAAGTATTCCATTAAAAGTTCTTTAAAACAAAGAAGGGGAATTATAATAAATACTCTCACATCCAGCAAAAAAAAAAAGAGGCCTTGTGTGCATCCTGAAAGACAACCACTTCCATGACTCTTAGCAGGACAATGGGATCTTTCAGCACAGGAAGGTGGCTCAAACAGATTCTTAGAGGACAAAACAAGCCATTGTCTCCCAAGGGATGGGCAGATGATGTTTTTGTTCAGCTGTCATTCATGGAATGCACTGATCCACCAAGCTCTGGAGTTGGGCTGCACACAGGCACCTCTCCACTAGGGGTAAAGGCCTTTCCAATGCTGCAGCAGAGATCCTCCACTTGGGGTTTGGGTGAGCAGGAGGCCTCGCTGTGAACTGAGCATGCCAGGTAGCAGCCTCTGGGAGAGTCAAAACTTTGGCAAGAGAGATTGACTATGRCAGGTTGCTGATGCCTATTAGCTGTTAGAGAGGTCTAGTGTTGATATGACTGGAAAAAAAATGGTGATTTTATAAAAAAAGGAAATATGACATTAAAAACAACTGAACTTAATAAAGCATTCCACAAAAACAAAATCACTCTCTTTGTCTTAATATGTTTGGGCTGCTAAAACAAAAACACCTAAGCTGAGTGGTGTATATATAACCAGTATTTACTTCTCACAGTTTTGGAGGCTGGAAAGCCCAAGACCAAGGCACCGGTAGATCCAGTGTCTGATGGACAGTTCTCACATGACAAAAGAGCAAAACAAGAGTCCCCAGGCCTCTTACATGAGGGCACTAATCCCATTCACGAGGGCCTCCTCCTCAGCCAAATCACTTCCCAGAGACCTCAACTCCAAATATCATCACATTGGGAGTTAAAAATTTAGGGGACTTTCAGTCTATAGCACATTTCTAAGCAAAACAGCAAGCAGAYTGAAAAAGGAACTTAAGGAAAAGACAGAATGTCTTTTCTGTTAGGGGTCATGGTGCTAACCAGGTGTCTCCTGGACAAAAAGGGAGAAGCATGGTCAGCTGATGATTTGGTGCCAGGGTGGAGTGAGCTGTTCTTGTTGTTCAGGAACATCTTGGTGGAGGTGGGAAAACACAGGGGAGATGATGTTCTCATACCCTCCCCAGTAATTCCCCGTTTTATTTAAAATATCCCATCTGTCAGCTGAAAATTGAAGTTGTTCGATGCCAGATTTATACCTGGATGTGTGTCGTCTCAGCCACCTGCATGCAGCACAGCTGTGCACCAGATGTCTTTACACAAAAAGCAAGAAACCCTTTGAGAAGAGCTTCCTCCTCTCTCTCTCCTCATCTTGGTATCTTTTTTTTTACCTTTCTCCTGGTCTCTCTCATTTTCTACATCTCTGTCTTCTCTCTCTCTTCCTCGTTCTCCATTTCTGTCTCTCATATATTCAAGAGTTCTTGGATTTCAGAGGAAAGAATCCACTCAGTAGTGGAAAAATTATCTAACACATACATAAAGAAACCGGCTTTTTTCAGCAGTAGGYTGGTCTGTCTGTYTCCTGGGTGTTCTCTTGGCCCTGTGCACAATCCTGACATTCTCCTACAGGTTTTCATCAGGATCAAGATTCTCTTCATCTTCGTCTTCTGGTATGCGATCTGAGAAAACACCCTAATACCTGTGAGATAGGTTCTAGGGTCTTTGGTCAAGAATTCGAGGATCTCCATGATAACAACTCCTCTTTTAGGCTCCTTCTTTCCCCATCATATTTTTAATTGAAAGCTACTGTCTTTCCCTCCTTACCAGGTATACAGGAACTTAACATAGCACATTTCTAAATTTTGCAATGATCTTTCAAGGTAAATATGATTTTTCCCATTTTGTACATAACTAAACTAAAGCTAAGGGAGACTAAGTAACTTGCTTTACATCAAAGACTTTGAAACTGGCCCAGGTGACCTCAGAGCCAAGGTCTGTCTGACTCCTTAACTCTCAGTTGCCCACAGTAGACACTGTGCAGGTTGTAAAAGACCTGGATTGAAATTTAGCATACATTGATCATTTTCAGTGTGCTGGAAGATCTTCATATACTGTTTCTGTGAATCCTCACAAAATCCTTTTACATTGGTATTGTTACTGCCATATTTACAATGTGGAGATATAAACTTAGAAAAAGATTAAATAACTCAGTAAAGGCACACGGATAGCAAACAACAGGGTTAAAATTTATCCTTGTTTTATCTTTTTACTATATTATGCTACTTAGGAACTGACTCCAAAGTGTGTTTCTGGCTTCTTTTTCTTCTCTTTGAAAGCCATATTATGGTCCAACTGGTCTGCAGTTGCCTCCTGAGTACATCTTCTGTTTCTCTACCCCAACATGGTGGTTAATGCTTTCTCCACACTGCCATCTAGTCCCCCTCCCATCTCCTTAGATAGAACCTGCCCATTCTTCCAGTTAGCCTGAATTCTATGGAGACAGAATGTGTCATTGAAAGATCAAAATCAAGTGACATTTTTAAAAAGAGAACATCACAGTCTTCTGAGGAAAAAGGTAGCTTTAAAAATTATGGAGCCTTCAAGACCTATAAGCCATCCCTTTACCTTCTCCTGGATGGAGCTGCCCACCCATGGGTGTATGCCCATGTGAGCTTGGAAACAGCTTCCATAGCTTGATGAAACAAACCATGTTTTGGGATGTAAATGCCATGTTAGGATGGCATTTACTCTTCCTGGACRCTTGGGCTTAGGATACTGCTCTTATATTTACCAACCTAATAGGAACCCTGTGAGAACAAGGACCCTATTTTAGACCTCTTTACATCCATAGCTCCCTATGTCTCATAAGAATCCGGCCTAATAGTCATTTTCTGTTTTTAATAAGAAGATAATGACCACAAAAAGGACCAGAGACAGCATGAACTTGAAGAAACCTGGAATTCGAGCTCACTGTCCTTTCTTCCTGATGGTGGTGCTTGATGGCCTCACCACCCTGGGTCTCAAATCCACAGCTTAGAGGAAGTTTTTACCAGCGCTATGTTATTTTTTTTAAGTGAGCACAGAAGGTACAGTCTAATCTAGTGATAAGAATTCTCCCAGTAGCCTGAGGTTATTGTAATTAAAGTGCATAACTTTATCTCTTTCTACTTGGCACTTTGTTAATTAGGAAAAGAGAACATTAAAAAGGAGACATTTATTAGAATTAGAGTAGTCAACCACAGACTGAATGCTAAACAAATTCAGAGGTTATTCTGCTGTAAGAAAAACTGATAAACAAAACGGATTTTTTTTTTTTTTTAGGAGACAAAAGGATGACTTTTATTTTATGAAGACAGAACAGATTTCATAGAAATTGTGAMTTTCACTGATGTATCAGCTTGGTAATAGTTGGAAACGTTTCTGGTCATAGACTACAAATAGTTAGGAGAGGGACACAAATGGCCTGTGATCTTGATTAAGTCACTTAATCTCTCTGGATCTCGTGTTGTCCGTAAAAATAAGGAACAAGATTAGATTTCATGACCCAGGAGACCCTTTCTGGCATTCACGTTCTGTTGCTCTAGAATCCATGATATTGACTTAGACGYGTTGCAGGCATCTGTCACGTCAGGCAAAGTTTGAAAAATAAACATTTTACTTATGTGGATGAAAAAGAAAAAAAAAAACAAGCTGGGTCAGTGAGAAAAATCACATGCTCGGGGACTGTAGCTTTGTGTTTAACACTCCTGGAAATGTAATCTACCCCTTATCCGATTCCATATYCATTCAGCAGTGCTGGGTTGGTCCTTCTCTCAGCAGCTCTTGGCATCATGAGGGGGGACGCTTATTTCCCTCTGCCGAAGTTCCCATCATGAAGACAGAGTTTCCCTAAGTCCTCTTGGGTTCCTGTCCAACCCCTTTCCCTCCCTATCCAAGTGGAGACAGTCGTCAAGCTGCTGTGTGGAAGCATTTGGCTCACATTTCTGAGCTAAGGGAGGCGATTCTATCAAAGGATTTAGAGGAGGGAAGAGGAATTT